TCGGTCATTAGATGAGGGTTGCAGCAATCTTGGGAAGGGAGTGGAGGTACTTGAAGTCCCATCATCCATGGTATGTCCTCCAAACTGCACCAGGGTGTAGAGTGGGTCATTGGGGCTCCGTGTGCCAAGTTTGGTCTTGGCGAGGGTCTCAGTGGTCTCAGAAAGTGAGTGAGGTTACTGCAAGTCCCATCATCCATCTCCATTTTTTTTCCAAATGACACCAGGACGTAAAGTGGGTCATGAGAGGTCTATGTGCCAAGTTTGGTCTTGATCAGTCATTGCATGAGGTTTGCAGAGGTCTCAGAATGTGAGTGAAGGTACTGGAAGTCCCATCATCCATTGTCCGTCCTCCTCCAAAACTGCAGCAGGATGTAGAGTGGGTCATGGGTGCTCTGTGTGCCAAGTTTGGTCTTGATCGGACATTAGGTGAGGGTTGCAGCAGTCTTGGGGAGTGGAGGTACTTGAAGTCCCATCATCCATGGTCTGTCCTCCTCGAAAGTGCACCAGGATATAGAGTGGGTCATGGGGACTCTGTGTGCCAAATTTGGTCTTGATCAGTCAGTGGTCTCAGGAAGTGAGTGAAGTGACTGCAAGTCCCATCATCCATTGACAATTTTTTCCTAACCGCACCAGGATGTAGAGTGGGTCATGCGGACTCTCTGTGTAAATTGTGGCCCTGATCCATCATTGTTGGCAGTTGTAATGGTCTTAAGAAGGGAGTGCAGGTATTGCAAGTCCCATCGTCCATGGTGCATCCTCCTCCAAACTGCACCAGGATGTAGAGTGCATCATGGAGACTCAGTGTGCCAACTTTTGTCTTTATCGGTAATTGGATGAGGGTTGCAGTGGTCTCAGGAATTGAGCAAAGGTACTGCAAGTCCCATAATCCATGGTCCATCCCCGGCCAAACCACACCAGGACATAAGGTGGGTCATGAGAGGTCTATGTGCCAAGTTTGGTCCTGATCAGTCATTGGATGAGGTTAACAGCGGTCTCAGAATGTGAGTGATGGTACTGCAAGTCCCATCATCCATGGTTGCAGTAGGATATCGAGTCAGTCTTGCAGGCTCTGTGTGCCAAGTGTGGTCTGTATTGGTAATTGTCTGACTCCGCCCCCTCTGGCCTTTTCCTTTCCTCTCTTTGTCATCTCGGAATCTTGGAATTGAGGCTGGCCAATCAGAGACCATATGCAAATTTCCTTCTCATGTCCCCGTTTCTGTCATGAACTCTTTTCTCCACCAGGGGCTCCTCTTGAAGCGGGCCAATCAGAGACCATATGCAAATAGCACCGCTGCCTAGCCAATCGGAATCTTGGAATATCAGGCTGGCCAATCAGAGACCACAGTGGCAGCCAATCAGAAAGCTAGCACATACACCGCCACACTTTTGTCNCACCAGGGGCTCCTCTTGAAGCTGGCCAATCAGAGACCATATGCAAATAGCACCGCTGCCCAGCCAATCGGACTCTTGGAATTTCAGGCTGGCCAATCAGAGACCACCTTGGCAGCCAATCAGAAAGCTAGCACATACACCGCCACACTTTTGTCCTCCTCCACATACAAACTTTCACCTTTATTATATATATAGATGATATATTGTAACAACACAGGCTAAGGCTCCTTCTTTACTGCCATATAATCCAAATTATCAAAGCAGATAATCCACATTATCTCCTTTGAACTGGATTATCTGAGTCTACATTGCCATAATCCTGGTTTCAGTCGGATAATCTGGATTTTATTTGACAGTATAGAAGGGGCATAAATCTCTCTTATATGGAAATCCAAAAGACTCCAGGAACTGAAACTTTTTGCTACTGGTCCACACATTACTCAGCAAGAGGAAATCCCTCCTGAATAGAGGGTTACGCAATTCAGGGGTTTCAAGTGTTGCTGTAAAAAGTGAAATGTCAGCAATTGTTTCAATACAGGTTTCAAGACAGTCCCCCTCTGCCAACAAATAAAAGCACTTCCTCATGCTCTTATTTACAGAACTTTTTGCTCTCTATATAAGGGGCACAAAAACCTAGATGCAGAAACCAATCCCTGTAAGTAGCCAGGTCAGTGCCACAAGACAAGATGGCTGGCTGGATGGGCTTTCACCTGGCTGTGACCTGCTTCACTCTCATGTCTATGGGGAGAGGAAGCTTTGGAGAAGAAACAGAAGTCAGCTGCTGTGCACGTGAGTCAAACTGGGAGAGATGGGGAAATGATGGTTGTTTCTTGTGGATAGGAGTCAGATCACTGGAGGAGAGGGCTCTCATACCTTTCAGGTATGTGCAGAAAGGGAATATGGACATTGCACAAACTGCTTTGTTTCTCGTGGATAGGAGTCAGGTTACTGGAGGAGAGGGTTCTCATACTTTTCAGGTATTTATTTATTTATTTATTTACTATATTTTTATACAGCCTTTCTAATCCCTGGGGGGACTCAAGGCGGTTTACAACATACTAATGGCAAAAATTCAATGCCAACATACTGTACACAAAGAAATCATAATAATGAATTACTACATATAACTATGAACTTTAAATCAATTAAAAACATTAAACATAAGACATACATAAAATTTAAACATTCAGACAAAGCATAAAATCATCCTAGTATAAACATTTAAATCCCATGACCCAGAAATCGTATACTATAGCCATTCCAAATTGTCATTGCACACATTCCTTAAATTATCCTTTCTCCTGCATTATTTATTAGCCAAAGGCTTGATCTTACGACCACATCTTTGTTCTCTTTCTAAAGGTCAGGAGGGAGGCTGCTGATCTAATTTCGCTGGGGAGGGAGTTTGACAGCCGAGGGGGCACTACTGAGAAGGCCCTGTCTCTCTTCCCCACCAACCACGCTTACAAAGGAGTCGGGACCGAGAGCAGGGTCTCCCCAGATGATCTTAACCTCCATGATGGTTCATAGGGGGAGATACATTTGGACAGATAAGCTGGGCTGGAATTGTTTGTGCAGAAAGAGAATGTGGGCATTGCTCAAACTGCTGTAGCAATTTCACAAGAACTCTTTCTTATGCCTCCAACTACTGAGGACAATGTTTTTCATTCTTAGAATACATGTGAGAAATGGATAGCATAGAGCTAGTGCAAATCCATCATTGCTTGCTATACCTCACTCAAGTTTATGATGTACAATTTTGTTTTGTGTTTTCTCACCTTGTTGCAGAGCTGAAGGGCTTATCGCAGTGTGGAGCGGACAAGGTTTTTTTCCAAGGCCAGCCAGGCACCCCAGGAATACCTGGCATCCCAGGAACAAATGGATTGACCGGCATGAAGGGAGACCCCGGCCCCCAGGGGCCCCCAGGTGAGACAAGGACCTACTGGACCACAGATCTGTTGCACACCAGAGGTTGCAGTTTTCTTTTCTTTTCTATATTTCATCACTAAGAGATTAATATGAACATCAGACATAAGGTGCTTCTGTAAGGGGGAGATTATTAGCACTTAAAATGAAAATTACATTGTTTTTGACACACATACAAAGTAGCAGAGTGCTTTGAATGGAGAAAACTCAACTCCCCATTTTCTCTAATGTACTCCATTACAGGAAAGGTGGTGGGGAGGGGTTGGGTGGACTTCTTACAAAAAAGGGGGAATGAATGTCTTCTAGCGGTGTTTCAAATGTTCTCTGAAAGGCCACTGATCTCTTCTTCTCAGGTGAGAGAGGCTCTGCTGGAGCACCTGGGAAAGCTGGACCCAAAGGAGAGAAAGGAGATCAAGGTGAGTCCCACACAACCTCATTTGAAGAAGTGGAAGAGGGCTCACAGGTGAAGCTTGGCCCATGCGGTCACCATCAGGCCAGGAATGAACAACTTCAGAAGCTTCAAGAATTGGGAAAAGGACCAGATGTTTCTTGGATCAAGATTAGGGTTTATTCAGAATTACAAAAAAGAAAAGAAAAATCAAAAGCTCACATGTGTGGGGTTGCCTAGCCTAGTTGTAGGAGGAACAAATGGTTTGATAGTTCACCTTATTTCTAGCAGCTAACATCATCTCATGGCCTAGCTGGCTAATGAGAAATTTACAGCTTTTTTCCTGCAATATATATGGTCAAAGGGCATTCATGGACTCAGTTTATATAGTTTCCTGTTTCCTAAATAGGATGTCATGCAAAAAGCACCCTCTGTCCATGCACTGACCAGCCCAAGGAACTGGCCAATTTCAGAGCAATTTTCAATGAAACCATTGCCTATATTTGCCTTCAGGCTTTAGTTTATTAAATTTTCAGGAAAAAACGGGGCCAGAGTGGGAAAAAAACTTTTGCTTACCTCTACTTCCTCAGGTTAAATAAAATAAAATACTGTACCATTATACAGAGCACATGAAAGTGCTCTTATCTCATTTTAATTCTGACACAGGAACCACATTTGCTCATTCAGAAATGGTTTTTCTCTTCCTACAGGAGAAGCATGCAGTCTTGCAAGCTGTCAACACCAAGGTATGTTTTGTCATCGCTACCATCTTCAGCATGGACCCAACACTGGGTGGGTGCACAGATTGTATGGTTGTGCTCCTCATAGACAAGGCTGAGGGTTATAACCTTTTTTCACAAATAGTCAGACATATTGCACAGCCAAGATCAAAGCAGATAAGACTCATTAGGAATTATCAATTTAAAATGTATTAAGTGATCAAGGATGCACATATGCAAAATAGACTTGCCACTTCATGTGGACCATTATTATTATAACTACTACTAATATTTCTTTCATATCCTGCTCTTCTCCCAGTATAGGAGCTCATGGCAGTTAACAATGAATGTAAAACAATGATAACTAAAAACAATACAAGGATATAAATCATAAATATAAAATAAATGTAAAGCATTAACAAAACAATTTTTTACTATTAAAACCACTGAAGATTAAAAAAATTAAAATACTTGAGAAAAACTTAAAATCTGAGTCATTCAGCATTATAAGCCCAATACTTGAAAATTTGTAAATAACAGATGGCAGAGAAATGTTTTTTATATATATATTCAAATGAAAGGTGCGCAGTGATGGGGCTATCCTAGGGAGAGAGCATCAAAGTCTGGGAGCAGCCACTGAGAAGGCCCTCTCTCTTGTTCGCACCAAACAAGCTCGAGAACATGTTTATCAGGATCCCTCTGCATATAGCAGATGAGTCTTTCAAAGACCTTTTGTTCTCTCATTGTTCAACCACATGCAAGATATTAAAAATGCAGCTCTTTGACCATATCAAAACTGATGCTTATGTCACAGGTGGAAGTTCATTAATAGGAAAGTAGCAAATAAGGCAAAAGCTTTCTTACTATCTATTATTACAATACTACAACCAAGGGCTATTGCAAACAACAAAACAGAAAACAATAAACAAACACACTTGCACATGCATAAATATGAAAACAAACAAACAGATTTTTTTAAAGAATCTACAGATTTCCCACTCTCTATCTGATGGTAATTGTCACTAGCCTACTCCCTTTAAATGATACGATATAGTCACACCTCTATTTTTAGCAAAATTCTACTAAGGGTATTATATGGTTTCTGGGTTGTATGGCTGTGTTCTAGCAGCATTTTCTCCTGATGTTTCACCTGCATCTGTGGCTGGGCATCTTCAGAATATCTGATGGTAGTAAAGCAAGTCTACTAAGATTCTACTAATTCATAAACCCTACAGTTGACAGGTGCCCCATTTGTTGTGGTAAAAAAATTGAACAAGTTTTAATTTTTCTTAAAGTTAGTCATAATTTTCTCCTTAGTCAACATAGGGTGGACCAGCAGTGACCTGCTATCCTGAGGTAAACATTAGACTGGTTCTAGGATGGTTACCACAGCTGCTGCCATCAACCCATACTAGCTATTGCAGGGTCAGAAGGGAGTCCTAATCGCTCAGGAGTGCTGAACTCATTTTGGTGCTGCTGGACAGCCACTCTTACTCTCCCCTTCCATTCTCCATTTTGTGGTCATCTCTGGCTGTGACATGGGTCTTACCAGTTGGCCATCATCTGCACTGAAATCTGTTGGGGCAATGAGCGGTGCGGAGGGGAGGGGAGAGGAAGAATAGCTCCTTCATCTCCCTGCCATGATTTCCCCATCTCTCTGATTGACATCACTGCAGGGGACAGCCGACTGGTAGGACCCACGTTGTAGCTGCAGACCACCGTGACATGCAGAATAGGATGGGATTGCAAGTGCCATCCTGTGTCTCTTAACTGCTGAAGCTTGGGAGACATGGGATGGCAGGGAAAACAGTTGTGTTTGGTTCCATTTCAAAACTGGCCCAACTATTTACACAGACCCCAAATTGGGATCAGAATGTGGGCTATCCCCTGAGTTTGGTTAATGTGGATCACCCAACATTATCCCAGATCAAATCCATGTGGTCCTTCGCTGTGGCCCTTCTGCATTAAGTGGTCAGTGCAGATGTAGCCATAGTCAATTTGTCCATCTTGGCTAAATGATAAATCTTCACTAGGTATTATCAGGGAGCATCTTCATTTCACCTCATCCATTTGGGCCTGTATCTTCCTTGCCATTCATTTCTTCTCTTTAAAATTCTAGGAAGTTAAACCTTAAACAAAAACATCAGCCAACAACTTAGGCTCTATAAACTATTTGTTCAGATGGTCTGTGAAAGCTGTTGGAGGTCCCTGAGAGTCACAGATTGTCAGTGATGCATCAACCAGACCTTCCCTCTCACTCTTTCAGTCAGGAGGACACTGATTTGGAAGTAAAGCTGATATATACCATAGGTTACAACTGACTGATACACATTTGTTTACCCATTGTCACTTTTCAATTAAATTGCCACTGGTTTTTTAAAAAATGAGCATAGTCCACGATATCAGTTTCAAATCATTGCATTAAAAATTCTGTGCATGCACATGTAAGCTGAGATTTTGCATGCCTGTACAGTCTGGCATGCAGAACACTGATACAATTTCCCTGTAGCCAACCACAGGACTCACTATGTTGCTGCAACAACTTCTAGAAATCATCAACTTCTCCAGTCAAAGTTTACCTGTGTAAACATGCAAATTATATTACTAGAATGGAGACTGCTGGGGGGCAGGGAGGGGTGGCTGGGTGTGTGATGGTGTCAGAGCAGTAGACTTTTTCCTAGAGAGGGTGCAACCCCCAGTAGTTCAAGCAGAGAACTGTGTAGCTACACCACTTCTAGAAATTGTTCACCCCTATGAGAAACCTGTTGTTCTCCTCATGCATACTATATTACCAGAAGGGAGATTGCACTTACCAATTCAGAATTACTCCATGATATTTTATCTAGAGGCAGGAGCCAAAGACTGCAAAGAGCTTCTGGAGCATGGAGAGACACTGAGTGGTTGGTATACAATCTATCCTGCCACAGGGAAAGCAATGAGCGTCTTCTGTGACATGGAGACTGATGGAGGAGGCTGGCTGGTAAGTTTTAACAAATGATGCAAGACTGCTAAATGACAATCTGCACTGACAACGTGTGCTTTCATGCCAGTCAAAATCATAAAAAACCAATGAGCATCTGTATAGCTAGCATAGACCAATGAAATGATTGATCTTTGGACACCAATGAGAATGTCTATTCAATTTACCACCAAAGTGCCATTGGGGGTGCGACAGAACCTTTGATTGCATTCCTGTATGCATATTTGTCATCTTGCTATGGCCACATAATAAAATATTTTTTGCAGTTGGAAGATTCAACTTCCGTGGTGCCTGCCCCCCCCCCCCCACTGGAAAGATGGCTCCTGCTTTTTGGGTTTGAATTTAAGGAGTATTTTGAATTTTTGCCCCTTCATTCCAACTCGATGATTCTATGATTTTCATTCTTAGTGGGTACTGCAAAATCCAGAATGATGGGGCAAGATAAGGGTAGCAATCCAGTGATGGTGAACCAGTTCCAAATATGTTGGGCCACCTAGACACTATCCAGACACCAGGCAAGCTTGGAGTGCAGTGTGGCTGCCATCCAACCCTTAAAGCTGCTTAGCGGCCAGTCATGCAGACCGTGCTTCAAAGAGCAAGGCTGGAGTATCCCAGCATCACTCTTTGTGGCCCATGTAGATTGTGCTCTTAGAATCAAATAGACACGGTTGGGTTGGTGTTCAGTCTCTGCCTTAATCTCATTAATGCCCCATTTTGTTTTTATTCTTCCGTTCCTTGAATGGATTAAAAGTTTTAAAAAATCAAGATTATTTCCGCTACTCCTTGGATCAGCACAACCAATTTATGAGATGAATTAGGCTGAAAGAGTGACTTGTTAAGGATCATCTACATAATACTTATACTACTACATCACATGGTTCTTCTTCCTAGAGAGTGCCCATGATGCCTCATTGTTCTAAGAGAGGCCTCTTCAAAGTCATTAAGCCAGCTTAAAATAACCCATCTAGCACTGAATAAAAAAAACCCGATTGATTCTCAGTAACAACACTAAAATATAAACTCCCTCTTTCCCCATCCAGGTTTTCCAGAGGCGACAGGATGGATCAGTAGATTTCTATCGTGACTGGCAGTCCTACAAAACTGGATTTGGAAACCAAGCATCAGAATTTTGGTTGGGCAATGATAAAATCCATCTTTTCACAAATTCAGGTAACAATATTCTTAGACTGCTTAAAAAATCACCACTTTAATCTTTCTTTCCCCATAATTTTGGATTGAAATTACACACTTAACCTAATTTGAACTCTGACGAGAGATTTCTCTGTATGCAAAATGATTATAAGCATGGTCCAGGGGTTCCTCTTGCAGACAATACTCACTCTATGACATTTTTTTCCAGGAACACAGCAGCTGCGGATTGATGTGAAGGACATGAATGACACTAGAACATATGCAAAGTACACTAGTTTCAAAATCTCAAGTGAGGAAGAAAATTACACCCTGTCAGTGGGTTCTTATGTAGATGGCAACATGGGTAAGTTACTCTTTTGAGCATGGAGGATCTGTATAATAGCTACCAATAAGGATATGGAGAGAAATGTGTAATTTTAGTACAGCTTATTCAGGTATGATTGCCCTTGATGAAAGTGTGCTATCGATCCTACATAAATTTGTTTGAACTTTTATTAAAACATCATGCATAATGAACTCTATTATTGCATTTGGTATGTAGAAATGTTTGTGAGAGGTTTTGTGTCTTAACTGTTAGACCAGGGTTTGGATCATCATGGAAACCCGCTGGGTGGGTCAGAGGAAGGCAAAGGCAAGCATCCTGTGACCAAATCTTTCAAAGAAAGCTCTATAATGGGATTTTCATCAGTGACAGTTAAGGGGAGACCTTAACTTAAATGCTCCCCCTCCCCCAGGCAGGCTGGAGAAATCTCTCAGGTTATGCCTCCCAATGCTGTAGCTCTTGTAATAGTCTGATCTTGTGGGTGCTGATTAAATTTTCGGGAGCCAAGATATCCGTCCAACAGATTGCTAGGGTATATACAAGTTTGGGTTTATCAGATTCAGATCTACAGTAGTTTCACAGCTCATTTACATGGACGCCACTGAACACTGTTTTTCAGCTGAGATGACTCTCAAGTTCTTATAAGTCAGTACTTTATTTGGTCCCCTAGATGTTTCACTCCACTCCATAAGACACCATAAGGGGCCAAAATGGTCAGAAACAATACCCTGGTGAATAAATGATATCTTGTTCACTATTTACAGCAGCATAAACTGGATTTACAATATTATAGGATGAGCGTCTCTTTTTTGAAAATCTGAAAAATTCCACAATTCAAAACTTTGTGAATGCTGACATGATGCCACAAGTAGAAAATCCCATACCTGTCATCATTGGACAGGCCACAGACAAAACATGGGCATACAAAAGAAAGTTTATTCTGCATCTCTAAGGGGGAAAAGTCCCTCTCATAGAATCAAATTACCTGCTTCCCTCTTTTAACTCGCCTGAGTTTTTAATTAGTTTTAATCAGTTTGTCCTTTTAATCACTACATGTAGCCCGCCCATTATTATTGTGTCTGTGTATATTTATTTTATTTTTTAAATTTATTTATTTATTATATATTGTTATGTATTCATGTGTTTTATGTAACTATGATGTTATTGTTTATTGTTCGCGTTTTCAGTTTTGTTTTTGGTTTTTCTTTATTGTAATTGTCATTTGGGCTTGGCCCAAATGTAAGCCACTCCAAGTCCCCATTGGGGAGATGGTGGTGAGGCAATAAATAAAGTTTATTATTGGAAGAGACTTAGTGGCCATTCAGTCCAATCCCCTGCCAATAAGCTCCCTTCAACTTTGAAGTGGAGCCACCATCATGGGTTCTGAGTCCCATTATCAGGAGAAGACCAGGATATATATGAATTAGAAAAGAAATAGGACCCCCAGAAAGCTTTGGAGTAACCAAATATTCATGTATATCTGCCCCCCCCCCATAGGTTGAAGTGAGGGATATGGGATCCCATTCTCACCCCTCAAAAGATGCCCACACCCAAGTCTACATTGAGTGGCAGCTGTTCTTTCTGGTTCAAGAAAGGGAGTATTTCTCTCACTGACGGGAGAGGCCAGGAACTGAAACTACAAGTTTTGGTTTGCTTTGGGTATAATATTGTTCTGGTGCATTTTCATCACATCCATAGCACATATTGTGTTGGTTCTGAGCCATTCAAGGGTTTACATTTGATTTTCCTCCCCCCCCCCCCCTTTCTCTTTCAGGTGATTCATTTTCAGGACATCGGGGCTTTGTATTCTCCACACGAGACAAGGACAATGATAGCCACGAAACAGCAAGCTGTGCAGTCATGTTTAAGGGAGGCTGGTGGTACGGTGCTTGCCACTCGTCCAACCTGAATGGCCTGTACCTCAGAGGAGAGCACGCCTCTTATGCTGATGGCATCAACTGGGCTGCTGGAAAGGGCCACCATTATTCTTACAAATATACAGACATGAAAATTCGACCTCAATAAATGAAATCTGTTTCTATCCAGACTGTTCTGTCATTAAATTTAAAAGCAAATAATTTTTAAAGTGTCACCTGATATAACAAATGTTGAATGCTGGGCCTTAAAAATACTGGGTGCAAGGGCTTTAACATCCCCACACATTGTGCATGTAGGTGAACCCTCCTGCACATAAAAGACAGAGGAGACATTCATAGTCCCAATATAATTATTGGGGAAAGGCAATTTGATGGTGATGTTTGCCCAATTGTCCCTTGAGTTGGATTTCCTTTTGTCTGGTTTGAGATACAACCTTCTATAATGTCATGAAAGCTGGCTTCCAATGAATTAGAGATTGTCAGTTGTTTGAGTCACACACAAACACACATACCAATACTGTAGTGGCCTTGGATACAAAAATCATATTGTATAGGTGCAACTGCTTTTTAAAATAACAACAAAATAATGACTATTTTTAAGAAATCATTCCTCAAGCTAATGCAAGAGAAGCAAGGCCATGACCGAGTCAAAGCTTAGCTTAAGGAAACATTTAGGAAAACACAGAAAGATCAATTTGAATTGGCAAACTAGTTTGCATGCATGTGCATTCATGCTTAAGGTTTTAAAGTGTTTTAAAAATTTGAACTTTTTCCAATTTGTCTTTCTAACTCCTTAAATTGTTTAATATGCCTTTAATCCCTTGAAAGCATTTTTATTTATTGAAACTGTTTGAAATTTGTTGGACTGGTTTTACTGTACACCTCCTTGAGATGTCTAGGCACAGTACAAGAAAGAAAATAATAATAAATAAATGCTATTTGAAGTGAGTTATTCCCAGCTCCTACTGGCATCAGGTCTGGGCAATTGCAGAACTAAAGGGCGAATACATTTCTGCCCGCCAAGGAAGGTCTTTTTTTTTGCTACTAAAATTCCAGAATCACAATCTGGAAGGTGGAGTTAGGGAGGGAGAAATAATAAAACAAGAAGGCATGTTCATTATTCACAGAATCATAGCGTTGGAAGAGATCTCATGGGCCATCCAGTCTCACCCCCTGCCAAGAAGCAGGAATATCATATTCAAAGCACCCCCGACAGATGGCTATCCAGCCTCTGCTTAAAAGCCTCCAATGAAGGAGCCTCCACCACACTCCAGGGAAGAGAGAGAGTTCCACTGCTCAACAGCCCTCATGGTCAGGAAGTTCTTCCTAATGTTCAGGTGGAATCTCCTTTCCTGTAGTTTGAAGCCATTGTTTGCGTCCTAGTCTTCAGGACAGCAGAAAACAAGCTTGCTCCCTCCTCCCTATGACTTCCCCTCACATATTTATACATGGACATCATGTCTCCTCTCAGCCTTCTCTTCTGCAGGCTAAACATGCCCAGCTCTTTAAGCTGCTCTTAATTGGGCTTGTTCTCCAGGCCCTTGATCATTAATAAAGATGTTGAACAGGACCAGGCTGCTCCAGGATGGAACCCTGCGACACTTCACTTGTCACTTCTTTCCAGGATGAAGAGGAAGTTATGGGATGAGTACCCTCTGGGTTCATTCACTTAACCAATCACAGATCCATCTAACATTTGATTTTCCTTTTTTGCCTAGCCCACACTTGACTAGTTTGCTAGAAGGTCATGGGGGACCTCGTCGAAGGCCTTACTGAAGACCAGATATGCCACATCCATGGCATTCCCTGCATCTACCCAGCTTGCAACTCTATTGAAAAAAGAGATCAGTTTAGTCTGGCATGACTTGTTTTTGATAAATCTGTGTTGACTATTAGTGATGACTGCATTTTTTCCTAAGTGTTTGCAGTCCACTTCCTTAACGATCTTTTCCAGAATCTTGCTTAGTATTGACATGAGGCTGACCGGATGGTAATTGTTTGGGTTGTCCTTTTTTCCATTACTGAAGATAAGGACCACATTTGCTCTCTTCCAGTTTGCTGGAATTTGTCCCGTTCTCCAAGAACTCTGAAAGATGATTGACAGTGGTTCCGAAATGACTTCCTCTAGTTCCTTTAATACTCTTGGATGTAGTTGATATGGCCCTGAGGACTTGGATTCGTTTAGATATAAAATATAAAATAAGCATAAAGCGGACAACATTTATCATTGTCATTCAAAATCCCTGGGCCTTCAGCCACTGAAGTTGTCCTGAAAACATTGTACTAAGAAGTTTCGAAGCTCCTAATCTTTGGCCACATGAGCCTTGCCTGACGGAGATGGTCTGCTTATTTTGGGTTGTCGGGGAAGGCCTGCTTCCATAAAAAGGTTTAACCTGAGAGCGAAAGGCCAATAACAAGGGGATTGATAGGCACTTCTTTGGGGAGGGTGTTCCAGAGCCACAGGGCCACTGCCAAAAAGGCCCTCCTCATTGGGCTTGTTCTCCAGACCCTTGATCATGCCGGCTCTTCGGCTTAGAAATGGAGATGAGCACCAACTTCCAGAGTTGGACACGACTGGACTTAATGTCAGGGGAAAACCTTTACCTTAACAGTTATTAGCATAAAACAGTGGAGATCCAATTACTGAGATTAATAAGAATAACAACATTAATGTAGTAATGGTCAACTTACTAATTACACAGGCAACCACGAGATAGACAGAAAGTGAATAAGAGTGAAGAACAATATGTGGGCTCCAGGAAGCACTTCTATCTAATATTGCACTGAGGCAAAACAAAGGAAACCTTTATGACTAAGCAAAGGGATCAAAACTCAAAGATGCATGCTGTTCAACAAGAGGAAATACTTGCTGAATAAAGGGGTTGCACAATTCAGGGACTTTGAATGTTTGCTGTAGAAAGGGAACATATATTTCAATAACATAGCATCAAGTATACCAACTCTTGTGAAAGCTGCCATTTCAAAACAGGTTTTCAGCCCAGCACCACTCAGCCAAGAAATATGACCACTTCCTCATGCCATTCTTTGCAGAACTATTTGCTCTCTAAATAAGACGTAGTAGGCCATTCGTTTGTAGTTCTGTTTGGAGACAAATCCAGAAAGGTGGCCAGGTCAGTTCTATAAGGCAAGATGGCTGGCCGGATGGGCTTTCATCTGGCTGTGACCTGCTTTGCTGTCATGTCTATGGAGAGAGAAATCTTTGGAGAAGAGACAGACGCCAACTGCTGTGAACGTGAGTCAAACCGGGAGGGAAGGACAAATAGTATTTGTTTTTCTGGGCAGGACCCAGGTCACTGGAGGAGAGGACTCCTGTGCCTTTCTAGTATGTGCAGAAAGAGAATTTGAGCATTGCTCACATTGCTGTAGCAATTTCACAAGAGATGCTGGCTGAACTTCTGCATCCAACTCCATTCCTAGATTACATGTAAGAAATGGGTAGTGTAGAGCTGGTGCAAACCCAGTAATGTTTGCTGCACTGTATTGACTCATTTAGGTTTATGATCTACCGTTTTGTTTGTGCTTTCCCATCTTGTTGCAGAGCTGAAGGGCTTATCGCAGTGTGGAATGAACAAGGTCTTTTTCCAAGGTCAGCCAGGCACCCCAGGAATACCCGGCATCCCAGGAACAAATGGGTTGCCCGGAATGAAGGGAGACCCAGGACTTCAGGGCCCCCCAGGTGAGACAAGGACCTTCTGAACTGCAAATCTGTTGAAAACCAGAGGCAACAGTTTTCTTTCTGTGTTTCATCACTAACAGATTAATATTATCATCAGATGAAGGTGCATCTAGAAGGAGGGAGGTTATTAGCATAATTATTTAAAATGTAAATTACAATTTTAATTGTGTTTAACACATGCACAATTTAACAGATCAGGATATAATTGTCTAGATAATGTTCAACTCCCCATTTTCTATAATAAAGTACAGACCTATTCAAGCAGCAGATTAAAGGGGGTGTTAGAATCCCTGCAAGCTTGAGACTTCCGGGTGTGCAGGTATGGTGGAGAGATGGACAATTAGAGCTCTCTGAGAGCATGCCAGATCTGAACTGTGGCTGAGTAGAGCAAAGCTCCCTTTCTCTCGTGGACAGAGATGGGAGAAACTGCGGAACCAAAAGGGGGTCAGCCGATGGTCCAAACAGGGGCCCTCTCCTCAAGAGGGGGCCACCAAAAGAATCCGGTATCCGACCCCTGAGATACAGCGGGCCACATCAGAAGAGCGCAGGATACATACCTGCAAATCTCCAGCCTTGCACATTTTAATTTGGAAGAAGAGGAGGAAATACCAGAAACATAGCAACGAAAGAGTATCAGAAGGTGAGGGGGGAAAGACTCTCTTCTATAAGAATGCAAAAAGGTAAGAGGAGGAGTTAAGACCAATCGGACCTGAACAGATCTGAGCCCAGATCTCAGATCCCAGATTGAGGGAAAGGGGGAAAATAAAAAGAGGACGGGAAGTGAAAAGAGAGGAAACAAAACCATAGAAAGAAGAGAGAGAAAGAGAGAAACTGGAAGCCAGACAGTGACGCTACCCACCATGGGGTGCAGCAGGTGATGTAGGTCGTGAGGCAACGGTTTCTCCCCACTGCTCCATGGATTTGCCGTGCTGCATGGCAAATCCCACCACTGTCCAATGAATTACAATCTCACTGTGACGAGGCCCCTAATCCAGGTTCTGAAAACCAACCAACTCCAATTCCTTGTTCATTACTCAGGCTAATCTCTACTGATACCTGCATTTTGCCATTACATTGGATGGCGTGAAAATATGGTGTCTTGAGAAGTTTCAAATGTTCTCTGATCTCTTCCTCTCAGGTGAGGGAGGCTCTGCTGGGGTACCTGGGAAAGCTGGACCCAAGGGAGAGAAAGGAGAGCAAGGTAAGTTCCCCTATAGCAGGGGATTGCAGGTGAAGCCTAGCCCAAGCAAACATCACAAGCTGCACTAGACTTGATTTAGCTGATTAGATGTGTTTGCAAAAATGGGGCTAGAGTGGAAAAACTTTTGCTTACTTTTGATTGTCCAGATAAAATAAATTTGTAATTTATTTTAAAAAAATGCAGTGCCAATATACAGGGCTGCCAAAACTGCTCTCATTCTCATTTTAATTCCGACATGAACACTATCTTTGTGGAATTCAGAAATTGCTTTCTTCTTCCTACAGGAGAGGCATGCACTCTTGCTAGGTGTCAGCATCAAGGTACGTTTTGTCACCACTACCACAGACAATATGGTTAAGCCCTCTTTCAACAATGGTGAAAGCAGGCTCGTAGCCAGGATTTCGTTTCGGGAGGGGGGGGGCTGAATTTTTTTCAGGGGGGGTTTCGGGGGGGGGCTGAGTTTCAGGGGGGGCTGAGTCTGAGTGAAAGAGGGTCTAGCCTAGCAAACCTTTTGTATCATTACCCCAATACCCCCATGCATATGGGATATATTGAGTATGGTGATCAGATCATGATATGAATAAACATAACAGTTTAAATAATGCACCAGTAAGGCCTTTTCGCGAACCACCATGAGAATTTCGGAGGGGGGGGGCTGAAGCCCCCCGAGCCCCCCCCCCCCCCCCCCCGGCTACATGCCTGGGTGAAAGGCATAATCAGGCATATTGCACCATCAAAGTCAAAGTAGATGAGACTCATTAGGGACCTTGCCACGTGTGCTGCTGGAATCACCGTGGATTGCTGTGATCTCAGTGATGCCCACCCAGGGCATGTGAGGACCTGTCGCCCCACGCCCCGCACTGCCCCGGCTTCCCCCTACCTCATCACATGGAGGGAAGCATGAAGAAGCCAGCTGTCTCCATAGAATGCCATTGAAAGATGGGAAGCCTTTTTCAGTGGCAACAGGGTTTGGCCAATAGTTACTCCATGGAGCCACCACGGAAGTAATTTTCCAGGGTGTGGTGGGAGACATTGGGCTCCATGGCAGAACTGAGAAACACCTATCACCATCACAAAATTTTGGGCCGTGTGAAGAGGTCCAAGGACTTATACATTAAAAATGTATTAAATGATGAAGCATACACATACACAAAACAGATCTGCAACTTATCGTGGAATATTAGTATTAGTATTACTGTTACTATAGTAAAATCTCAGGGTTCTTCCAGACTGATCCCAAAATGCAGGGCTTGTCAGACTTCTACCTGAGGCATCCAAATGACGTCCCAGGTAAAAGCAAATTAATTCAGGTCAAAGCAGGTAAACCATGCTCGTCCCAAATTAATTTGATACCCCATTAGTTCCAGGCCTTCCTGAATAATATTGGGTCTGCGGAGTTTCACCCATGGGTAGTTCGAGGACTACAAGGAACTACCTGGGGGTGAGTTTCCCATCTCACTTCTTCAGGCTTCCAAAAACTTAGAGGAGCAAGATGGCTTCATCACACAGGACTTTTTAGCATCCTAGGATGCTTCCCAGCCAATCCAGCAATGGATGGGCATGTCACCTGTTACATGACGTAACTGGATTTCTGGCGGATGCCCTGTCCACAACCGGAATTGAAATGTTGTATAATGCTTCCCTTGCAACATGGGAGCTTTCTGTGCAGTTTCTACTGTGTGATGAAGGCTGGCAAAACAGCATGGGGGGGGGGGGGGTTCCCATGTGATGAAGCCCTGAGAATCATAGATTTTCATTGTCAGCTATGTATCAGACATGCCTTTCCCTCCCTTCACTGAAGTGAAAATGCAGCAGATAATAATAATAATAATAATAATAACAACAACAACAACAACAATCAAACTTTCTTTATATACCACGCTAGCTTCCCAAAGGGACTCAGGGAGGTTTCCAACAAAAAAATGGCAAATATTCAATGCCAGAATACACTAATAAAGAGAAATAAACACCTCCCCCCCCCCCCAGTCCCAAAAGAAAAATTACAACTATAACAAAATTAAGATTATAACAAACAATAATTAAGTAATAACATAACCAATCAACCACTGCATATCTAACATTAAAACACAACAGAAATGTAAGCAAATCTAAATCCATTTAAAATTATTAAGAATTTTATACAGCCAGTCAAGCTAGAATGAAATGTCATTTCCAGTCTGGGGTAATTATACATGATATTCTAAACCTCCTTCTCTCTAAATGCTAAGGAATATAAATGTGTTTTATCAGGGGGTTTTTCAAAAGAGAATAAGGAGGGAACCATTTTAGTTCTTTGGGGAGAGAGTTCCAGAGTTGGGGGGGGGGGGGAATCACAGAGGAGGCCCCCTCTCTTGTTCCCACTAGCTGCGCTTGAGATAGGGGTGGGACCGAGAGCAGGGCCTCCTCCGTTGACCGTAATGCCTGAGTTGGTTTGTATGAGCAGATGTGATTTGCCAAATAGTCTGGGCCCAAACCATTTGTGGCTTTAAAGATAATAACCAGCACTTTGTTTTTAGCTCAGAAGCATACCGGCAGCCAGTGGAGCTACCACAACATGGGAGTGGTTCTCTTCCTGAATAGAACCCCCACACCACCCAGGAGCCTTTCCATGGCTGGTAGAGAGTGGTGGAGCATCGGATAAGCACATGTCTTTCTAGAGATGGTGCATCCTCACCACTTGTCCATCCTTGCAATAGAGGATTATGTGCATAAGCCTTTACTCTCAACTCTAAAAATATTGAACAAAGTCTCAGTTTTTCTTAAAGTTCAGATTTTTCTCCATGATATTTCATCTAGAGGCAGGAGCCAAAGACTGCAAAGAGCTTTTGGAGCATGGAGAGACACTGAGTGGTTGGTATACAATCTATCCTGCCATTGGGAAAGCAATGAGCGTCTTCTGTGACATGGAGACTGATGGAGGAGGCTGGCTGGTAAGCTTTAACAAATAGTGCAAAACTGCTGTGTGTCATAGATATGCCCATGATCTGAACTGGCAACCATGTAAAATGGAGGGAAGATCACTGAACTTTCCCAAAGGAAAACATGGTACTTACTGCCTGAATCCCAGAACTACTCACCTGAATCAATGGTCATGTGAATGAGAAGAAGGGGGCCATGAGGGTATGTGCAAATCTCTCTTTTGTAATCCTTTTAAAATCATTGCCAATTGGATCATTATGCTCACATAATTGACAGTGGTGACCAGTAATTTAATCTTCTTACACCTTCCACACTTGCCCTAGTCTTCATGTTGATCAGAAATACCTCTTCTACCACCCTACACATACACCAGGAGACAAGAAAAGCAATCATTAATTGAGAGCAGGACATCAAAAGCACCAAAAGCACCCAGCCTGCTCTGGGGATACCAGAAGATCCTGCCACCATTATTCTGGCTGCTGCTGGCTGCTGCCATCCTCCTGGTAACCAGTGTTACTCAGTAAGCAGACAGCATGGCCTTAGACATAGGGCACATCTACAAGGGACCCTTTATCCTGAAAGGGTTGCAAATCAGCTTTATGGTGACTGTGTGATGTATAGGGTTGATTTGGATCAATGTAGTCTTGAACCTCATTAATTAAAGTCATGTGATGCTCCATCACTTTTTCCACGTTTTGTACCACTTCCATTCAGGAAGCTGCTTTAGCTTTTTATAGCACCTTCCAATTTTCCCTGGACAGGAATAGCATCTAGTTTGGACTTCGTAGTGTCCACCTGGAAGAAAAGTGGCAGTGTATGTTGCTTTGGGCAAGGAGTGGCTGGAACAACAACACCATCAGAGTAGAAAAGGACAAAAGGAGGAAGCTTTTGACCTTCTCGTGTTGCTTACTTGCTCCATTTATCATCACTCCAGGCACCAAGTGATGAACACCATTTTTGTGCTTGTTGAGCACTCTAAAATCCAAAATGATGGGGCACTGCTGGACAGCATGAACACAATCCCACCACCAGGCAAGCTTGGGGGCATGCAGCTTCCATCCAGACTTTCAGCCTTTTCAGTGGCTGTCCATACAGACAGATGTCCATACAGAGTACCCCAGCATTACCATTTGTGGCCTGTGTAAAAGTTCCCCCAAGTGTCAAATAGAGGAAGTCTGGCTTGTGTTCAGACTATGTTCTCATCAATAATGTATTTTCTTTTTATTTCTCTGTTCTTTCAATGGACTGAAAGTAGCAATCATCTACTGAAGAACATTCTAATAATTATACCACATGGTTCGTTCTCCTAGACCAGGGGTCCTCAAACTTTTAATGCAGAGGGTCAATTCACAATTCCTCAGACTGCTAGGTGGGGGGGGGGCAGATAAAAGTTTGGGGGGAAATGAACAAATTACTAAGTACTGTGCTGTCGCACGCTGGGCCTGTGCATAAGACTGTAGAAAGGACATAAATTCTGTATGCCCAATGGGACGCTGGGGCTGCCTCAGATTAAAGGCCCTTGGATTTCCTTAAAACAGAGTCTTTAGATTTCTTAAAGGTTCAACAAAGTTCTTTATTGTTGAAAACAAACAGGTACTTTAAAGCTTTCTTAACAGTCTATTGGCTCTCTCTTAATCTTGTCCACGGGGAACAGGCACTATTTTCATAACTGTATACTAACTAATGGGGAAATCCCTAACTTCTAATCTGGGCAGTCTGTACTTGCCTCTGTTGGCGTGGAGCCCCTGCACCCAGTACCAACTGCGTCTGGCTTTCGCGTGCGACCCTTACCAAGCAGAGCTTTGTAGACTTCCAGGGGAAAAAGAATTCAGGTTTCCGTGATGGCTGGCTGAAGTGCTGTGGGACCGGATTCCCTCAGCAAAGGAGCTGTAATGCTGTATGATCCTCAGCCAAGCTATGGGCTGTATAACCCCGGCCAAGTTGTAGAAGACGAAGCTTTCTACAGGAGCTCTTGGTATTATGTCCTGCATGGAAAGCTGCTCTGTGTGCTCTGTGAACCCAAAAAGGCTCCTATTCCCTCCAAAAACCCAAAGGGGGCAGGACCAGGGAACCTAACTATAATTGACAGGTGGCTTGCCCTATGATTGCATCCAAAAGAAGCCACCTATCTGCAGAGTCCCTGAAACTTAGGACTACAAAAAACATTCAATGCAAAGCAAACAAAATTGGAGCTCCTGGTACAGCTGTACCTGCACAAGTACACTTCTCATATCTTATTTGTAGAGCAAAAAATATGAAAGAACAATACAATATTTCAAATGAAGAACAATTTTAGCCAACATAAACTTACCAGTATTTCAATAGGAAGTGTGGGCCTGCTTTTGGCTGATGAGATAGTCAAGTTAATTGGGATTATTGTTGTTGTGTGTCTTCAAGTCATTTCAGACTTTGGGCAACCCTAAGTCTAAAATTTAGGGCAGGGGCTAGTAAGTGACCTAGGAGGGCCTCATTTGGCCAGCAGGCTTTCGTTTGGGGATCTCTGTCCTAGATAGTGTGCCTAATTCCTCCTTGTACCAGGAGATGCCTCTTCAGAGCATTAGGACTGCCTAAAAGAGTCCATTTAGCACTGAATCAGAAAACAGTTTGCCTCTCAGTAGAAACACTGAAATATCACTCCCCTCTGCCCACATATAGGTTTTCCAAAGGAGACAGGATGGATCAGTGGATTTCTACCGTGACTGGCAGTCCTACAAAAATGGGTTTGGAAACCAAGCATCAGAATTTTGGTTGGGCAACGATAAAATCCATCTTCTCACAAACTCAGGTAATCCCATGTTGCTGCTGCTTGTTGCAGATACAACAGTATTCCTAGATTGCTGAAAAACAAAATGAGGTCTTCAATGGGATTATGGATTATGGAGTACTCTATCTCTAATGTGATTGTAAATAAGTCAATGGGTTTCTCTTTCAAACAATGCTTACTCTATGACATGTTTCATCAGGAACACAGCAGCTGCGGATTGATGCGAAGGACTTCAGTAACACCAGAACTTATGCAACATACAGTGGTTTCAAAATCTCAAGCGAAGAAGAAAAGTATACACTTTCAGTGGCCTCTTATATAGATGGCAATATGGGTGAGTTACATTTTTGGAAAATAGAGGATCTGTATAGCAGATAACAATAACAATGTGGAGAGAAGGCTGTAATTTTAGTCAACTTCATGTGTCGTTGCCCTTGATAAAGGTGTCATATCTTGTGTAAATTTGCAAAAATATTTCTTAAAATATCATGTATAGCAGTGGTTCTCAACCTGGGGTCCCCAGGTGCTTTTGGCCTTCAACTCCCAGAAATCCTAACAGCTGGTAAACTGGTTGGGATTTCTGGGAGTTGTAGGCCAAAAACATCTGGGGACCCCAGGTTGAGAACCACTGATGTATAGTGAATTCAATCATTACATTTTGCATATGGAAATGTGTGTCAGTGTGGTTTCATGGTTTGAATGTTGGATTAGGATTTTGGGAGATTAAGATTTGGAACTTTGTGGAAACTCGCTGGATGATCTTGGGCAAGTCACACTCCCAGTCTAAGAGGAAGGCAATATCCACTCTCCTCTGAGAGTTGACTAGCTCGCACATAATAAAATACTGTAAAGTTTATTTTTAGCTGCAATTGTATTGAGAAATGTGCCCACTGAGGAGGGGACCTGACTTAAGAAGCTCCCCTGGAGAACCTTCTCAGGTTGTGTCCTGATAACAGTAGAATCACAATGTTTGGAGATTGATCTTGTAGGCGTATCCTCTAGATGTGCTGAAGAAATCCCCAGGAGCCCATATGTGCCCCCAACAGAGTACTAGGGCATATAACAATTGGGTTTTTATTATAAGAATGCCATCTGAAGTGGTTCCACCACTCACTTACATGGAGATCACTGGCTACTGCTGTTCAGCTGATATGATCAAATGACTCTCAAGTTCTAATGTTTTAAGTCAGTGCTTTATTTGGTCCTTTTGTTATTTCACTCCAATCTGTAATCCATTGTAAGTAGCCCTAGTTGCCATAATCAATAGTTTTATGAATACACATTGATTGGCATCCTTTTCAATGTTTACAATATCATATCCTGGGTGTACAATATTATAGGATTATCAACCATTGGTTGAAAAACAGAAATATTCCACAATCTGAAACTTTAAGAGCCCTGGCATGATGCCACCAGTGGAAAATTCCACACTTGTCTTCATGTGACGGGTCACAAACAAAACACAGGTGCACAACAGAAAGTTTATACAGCATCTCCATGGGGAAGAGTGCTTATCAGGTGTCTTCAACTGCAATTTGTCGAGTGAGCCTTGCATGCATATAGGGTTTTGTCCCGAGGCTCCTTTATCAGGAGAAGAGCAGGATATAAATGAATAGCCACCCTGGTAACAAAAATAGGAATAGAGTCCTCAGAAAGCTTAGGAGGAACCAAATATTGAATGTATAGCTATCTTTGTGTCCATTAGGTTGAAATAAAGGATAAGATTCCGAGCAGTCTGAGAGATTGTATTTGATTTTCCTTTTTTCATTCTCGTTTAGGTGATTCACTTTCAGGACACAGGGGCCTTGCATTCTCCACACGAGACAGGGACAATGATATCCTTCAAACGGACAACTGTGCTGTGTTGTATAAGGGAAGCTGGTGGTATGGTGAATGCCACTCTTCCAACCTGAATGGTCTGTACCTCAAAGGGGAACACACCACTTTTGCTGATGGCATCAACTGGGCCGCTGGAAAGGGATACCACTATTCTTACCAATATGTGGACATGAAAATTCGACCCCAGTAAATGAAATATCTCTCTCTTCAGACTATTCTAAAGGCATGGTCCTTAAATTTACTGGTAGAATTTGTTTTTAAGTGTGCAGGGCTAATCCAAACTACCAAATTAATGTGGGTCTTAAAGAATAAACCAGTTTTGAAAGACTGGAAATGATTTATGGATTTTGAGTAATTATAAATTAACATCATGATCTGTAGTCATGGTTTTAAGAAATGTTTATAGAGTTATTTAGCTAGATCTGTAATGGTGGAATAATAATTGCTCCCCCCCCCCCTTTACTTTTACATTCATTACAGTCAGGTTGGGGGTGGGATGTCAGAGCCTTACTATGTCATAGTTATAGATCTCTCTCTCTCTCTCTCTTTTCTTTCTGTCTCTTTAATTTTTGAATGTATATTACTTTGATTGTAAATTGTTTGTATCAAGAATAAAAATCATTTAAAAATGTAAACTCGAGCTAATCGAACTAGAGGTCTACAATCAACATTATTCTTGCCTCATTAAATACAATAGAAGAAAAAATTCCCCAAGAATTCTTATCTAAGGCCCCTTCTACACTGCCAGATAACATACAGATTATCTGCTTTGAACCGGATTATGTGACAGTGTAGACTAAGATAATCCAGTTCAAATAGGGATTATCTGATTTGATAATCTTGATTATATGGCATGGTATATCGTAACAACACAGGCTAAAGCTTCTTCTTCACTGTCATAGAATCCAAATTGTCAAAGCAGATAATCCACATTATCTCCTTTGAACTGGATTATCTGAGTCTACATTGCCATAATACTGGTTGAAAGCAGATGAACTGGATTTTATTTGACAGTATAGAAGGAGCATAAATCTCTTTTATCTGGAAATTCAAAAGACTCCAGGAACTGAAACTTTTTGCTGCTGGTCCAAAGTTCAAAGGTTCACATTATTCAGCAAGAGGAAATACCTCCTGAATAGAGGTTTGCACAATTCAGGGATTTCAAATGTTGCTGTAGAAAGTGAAATGTCAGCAATTGTTTCAATACAGGTTTCAAGACAGTCCCCCTCTGCCAACTAATAAAAGCACTTCCTCATGCCCTTATCTACGGAACTTTTTGCTCTCTATATAAGGGGCACAAAAACCTAGATGCAGAAACCAATCCCTGTAAGTAGCCAGGTCAACGCCGCAAGACAAGATGGCTGGCTGGATGGGCTTTCACCTGGCTGTGACCAGCTTCGCTCTCATGTCTATGGGGAGAGGAAGCTTTGGAGAAGAAACAGAAGTCAGCTGCTGTGCACGTGAGTCAAAATGGGAGAGATGGTTAAATGATGGTTGGTTGCTTCTCATGGATCGGAGTCAGGTTACTGGAGGATAGGGCTCTAATAACTTTCAGGTATTTATTTATTTATTTATTGTATTTATATACTGCCTTTCTCATCCCTGGGGGGACTCAAGTCAGTTTACAACATACTAATGGTAAAAATTAAATGCCAACATACAGTACTCAAAGAAATCATAATAACGAATTACTACATATAACTATGAACTTTAATCAATTTAAAACATTAAACATAAGAAATACATAAGAAAAACATAAGAAATAAAATGTAAACATTCAGACAAAGCATAAAATCATCCTAGTATAAACATTTAAATCCCGTGATCTAGAAATCCTATACTATAGCCATTCCAAATTGTCATTGCACACATTCCTTAAATTATTCTTTGTCCTGCATTATTTATTAGCCAAAGGCTTGATCCCACAACCACATTTTTTTCTCTTTCTAAAGGTCAGGAGGGAGGGCGCTGATCTAATCCCGCTGGGGAGGGAGTTCCAGAGTCGAGGGGCCACCACTGAGAAGGCCCTGTCTCTCGTCCACACCAACCATGCTTACGAAGGAGTCGGGACCGAGAGCAGGGCCTCCCCAGATGATCTTCACCTCCGTGATAGTTCATAGAGGGAGATACATTTGGACAGATAAGCTGGGCTGGAATTGTTTGTGCAGAAAGAGAATGTGGGCATTGCTCAAACTGCTGTAGCAATTTCACAAGAACTCTTTCTTATGCCTCCAACTACTGAGGACAATGGTTTTCATTCTTAGAAAGAATGTGAGAAATGGATAGCATAGAGCTAGTGCAAACCCATCATTGTTTGCTATACCTCACTCAAATTTATGATGTACAATTTTGTTTGTGCTTTCTCACCTTGTTGCAGAGCTGAAGGGCTTATCGCAGTGTGGAGCGGACAAGGTCTTTTTCCAAGGCCAGCCAGGCACCCCAGGAATACCTGGCATCCCAGGAACAAATGGGTTTCCTGGTGTGAAGGGAGACCTCGGCCCCCAGGGGCCCCCAGGTGAGACAAGGACCTTCTGGACCACAGATCTGTTGCAAACCAGAGGCTTCAGTTTTCTTTTCTTTTCTATGTTTCATCACTAACAGATTAATATTAACATCATATAAGGTGTTTCTATATGGGGGGAGGTTATTAGCACTTAAAATGTAAATTACCATTGGAATTGCATTGTTTTTGGCACACATACAAAGTAGCAGAGTGGTTTGACTGGAGAAAACTCAACTCCCCGTTTTCTCTAATGTACTCCATTACAGGAAAGGTGGTGGGGAGGGGTGGGGTGGACTGCTTACAAAAAAGGGGAATGAATGTCTTCTAGCAGTGTTTCAAATGTTCTCTGAAAGGCCGCTGATCTCTTCTTCTCAGGTGAGAGAGGCTCTGCTGGAGCACCTGGAAAAGCTGGACCCAAAGGAGAGAAAGGAGATCAAGGTGAGTCCCACACAACCTCATTTGAAGAAGTGGAACAGGGATCACAGGTGAAGCTTGGCCCATGCGGTCACCATCAGGCCAGGAATGAACAACTTCAGAAGCTTCAAGAATTGGGAAAAGGACCAGATGTTTCTTGGATCAAGATTAGGGTTTATTCAGAATTACAAAAAAGAAAAGAAAAATCAAAAGCTCACATGTGTGGGGTTGCCTAGCCTAGTTGTAGGAGGAACAAATGGTTTGACAGTTCACCTTATCTCTAGCAGCTAGCATTATCCCATGCCCTAGCTGGTTAATGAGAAATTTACAGCTTTTTCTCCGCAACATATATGGTCAAAGGGCATTCATGGACTCAGTTTGTATAGCTTCCTGTTTCCTAAATGGGATGTCATGCAAAAAGCACCCTCTGTCCATGCACTGACCAGCCCAAGGAACTGGCCAATTTCAGAGCAATTTTCAATGAAACCATCACCTATATTTGCCTTCAGGCTTTAGTTTATTAAATTTGTCAAGAAAAACGAGGCCAGAGTAGAAAAAACTTTTGCTTACCTCAACTTCTCCAGGTTAAATAAAATAAAATACTGTACCACTATACAGAGCACTTGAAACTGCTCTCATTTTCATTTTAATTCTGACACAGGAACCACATTTGCTCATTCAGAAATGGCTTTTCTCTTCCTACAGGAGAGGCATGCAGCCTTGCTAGCTGTCAACAGCAAGGTATGTCTTGTCATCACTACCATCTTCAGCATGAACCCAACCTTGGGTGGGTGCACGGTTTGTATGGGTGTGCTTCCTATAGACAAGGCTGAGGGTTATGAGCTTCTTTCACAAATAATCAGGCATACTGCACCACCAAGATCAAAGCAGATGAAACTCATTAGGAATTCAAGTGGACCATCATCATCATTATTATTATTATTATTATTATTATTATTATTATTGTCGAAGGCTTTCATGGCCGGAATCACTGGGTTGTTGTAGTTTTTTTGGGGGCTATATGGCCATGTTCTAGAGGCATTCTCTCCTGAGAATGCCTCTAGAACATGGCAAAAGTTTTCAAGCTTTCACTCCTTTGAAAAACACTCCATCTTAACTGATCTCCTACACAGTTTCAGAGGATTGTGAGATATGATTTTTTTAAAAAAATTAAAAGTAACTGCTATTCAAGAAAAAGAAAGATAAACACATGCAAGTGATTGTTAGGTATTTAAAACTAAAAAAAATACACAAGTACATACTATCTATTATTATAACACTACAACCAAGTTACTATTGCAAATAACAAAACAGAAAAAATACACAAAACACGCATGCACATGCATAAATACAAAAACAAAAAACCCCACAGATTTTTAAAAGAATCTACAGACCCCCCCCCCCTATCTGATGGTTATTGTCACTAATTGCAGTAGTCTACTTCCTTTAAATGGTATTATAGTCACACCTCTACTTTTAGCAATATTCTACTAAAGGTGTTGTGTGGTTTCCAGGTTGTATGGCTGTGTTCTAGCAACATTTTCTTCTGATGTTTCGCCTGCATCTGTAGCTGGCATCTTCAGAAGATCTGATATAGTAAACCAAGTCTACTAATATTCTGCTAATTCATAAACCCTACAGTTGACAGATGCCCCATTTGCTGTGGTGAAAAAATATTGAACAAAGTCTCAGTTTGTCTTAAAGTTCAGACTTTCCTCCATGATATTTCATCTAGAGGCAGGAGCCAAAGACTGCAAAGAGCTTCTGGAGCGTGGAGAGACACTGAGTGGTTGGTATACAATCTATCCTGCCACAGGGAAAGCAATGAGCGTCTTCTGTGACATGGAGACTGATGGAGGAGGCTGGCTGGTAAGCTTTAACAAATGGTGCAAAACTGCTATGTGTCATAGATATGCCTACGATCTGCACTGACAAATATGTAAGGAGGAGGAAAATTCACTTAAGTTTCCCAAAGGAAAATATGGTGTATACTGTCTGAATCCCAGAACTATTCACCTGAATCAGTTGTCATATGAGTGAAAAGAAGGGAGCCATGAGGGTATGTGCAAATTTCTCTTTTACAATCCTTTTAACATCATTGCCAATTGAATTATCTTGCTCAACTAATTGCCAGTGGTGCCAGTAATTTAATCTGTGTTTGTTGCTTGGGGCCAGGAGTGATGTTAGCCAGAGCAAAAAAAGTAATCAAAGAAGGGAGGGCCAAAAAGACAGAGTGGTTCCTTCTTTGCTTCTCCCTTCTGTCATATTGTTTCATTGCTCCAGTTATCATCACTGCAAGTGCCAATCAATGAATACCATAATAGTGCCCCAATATTCTGCTTATGTCAGACTTCACCTGGAATAATACTGTGTCTAATTCTGGGCAATAATTCAAGAGGGATATTGACAAGCTGGAACGAAGAAGGTAACTAAAATGATCAAAGGTCTGGAGACCACAACCTATGAGGAGCGACTTAAAGAGCTAGATATATTTAGCCTGCAGTAGAGAAGATTGAGAGAGGACATGATAGCTATGTTAAAATATTTGAAAGGATGTCATGAGGGAACAGGCTTGTTTTCTGCTGCACGGGACACTAGGACCTGTAGTAATGAGTTCAAATGACAGGAAAGGAGATTCCACCCAAATATTAGGAAGAACTTCCTGACTGTAAGAGCTGTTCAACAGTAGAACTCTCTGCCTTGGAATGTTGTGGGAGCTCCTTCCTTGGAGGCTTTTAAAACAAAGGCTGAATGGTCATCTGTCAGAGGTATTTTGATTGTGCTTTTCCAGTATGGCAGCGGGTTAGACTGGATGACCTGTGTGGTCTCTTCCAACTCGATGATTCTACGATTTTTGTGCTTAGTGGGTACTGCAAAATCCAAAATGGTGGGGCAAGCAATCCAGTAATGGTGAACCAATTCCAGATAAGTTAGGCTACCTAGACACCATCCCACCACCAGGCAAGCTTGGAGGAGTGCAGTGTGGCTGCCATCCAACCCCCAAGGCTGCTTGGTGGCTGGCCATGCAGACTGTGGCTTCAACGAGCAAGGCTGGAGTACCTCAGCATTGCTCTCTGGGGTCATGTAGACATGGTAGGGTTAGTGTTCACCCTCTGGAGTACCTCAGCATTGCTCTCTGAGGCTCATGTAGACATGGTAGGGTTAGTGTTCACCCTCTGCCTTAATCTCATTAATGCCTCATTTTGTTTTTATTCTTCTGTTCCTTGATCGGACTAAAAGTAAGAAATCAAGATTATTTCCTTGGAACAGCACAACCATTTTATGCGATGAATTAGGCTGAACGAGTGACTTGTTAAGGATAATCTATGTAATGCTTATACCACTACACCATGTGGTTCTTTTTCTTAGCTAGTGCCCATAATGCCTCATTGTTCTAAGAGAAGCCTCTTCAAAGTCATTAAGCCAGCCTAAGATAACCCATCTAGCACTGAATTAAAAAACAAACAAACGATTGATTCTCAGTAAAAATGCTAAAATATACATTCCCTCTTTCCCCATCCAGGTTTTCCAGAGGCGACAGGATGGATCAGTAGATTTCTATCGTGACTGGCAGTCCTACAAAAATGGGTTTGGAAACCAAGCATCAGAATTTTGGTTGGGCAATGATAAAATCCATCTTCTCACAAGTTCAGGTAACAATATTCTTAGACTGCTAAAAAATCCCCATATTTTTGGATTGAAATTACACACTTAACCTAATGTGAAACCTGGAGAGAGATTTCTCTGTATGCAAAATGATTATAAGCATGGTCCAGGGGTTTCTTTTGCAGACAATACTTACTCTWTGACATTTYTTACCAGGAACACAGCAGTTGCGGATTGATGTGAAGGACATGAATGACACTAGAACTTATGCAAAGTACACTAGTTTCAAAATCTCAAGTGAGGAAGAAAATTACACCCTGTCAGTGGGTTCTTATGTAGATGGMAACATGGGTAAGTTACWCTTTTGAGCATGGAGGATCTGTATAATAGCTACCAATAAGGATATGGAGAGAAATTTTAGTGCAGCTTATTCAGGTATCATTGMCCTTGRTGGATGTGTACTCTCTATCCTACATAAATTTGCCCAAACTTTTATTAAAACATCATGCTTAGTGAACTCTATAATTGCATTTTGTATATAGAAATGTGTATGAGTGATTTTRTGGCTTAACTGTTGGGCCAGGGTTTGGATCGTCATGGAAACCCACTGGGCGGGTCACGCTTTCTCAGCCTCAGAGGAAAGCAATAGCAAGCATCCTGTATAAATATTTCTTAAAATATCATGTATTGTGAATTCAATCATTACATTTTGCATATGGAAATGTGTGTCAGTGTGGTTTCATGGTTTGAATGTTGGATTAGGATTTTGGGAGATCAGGATTTGGATCCTTGTGGAAACTCACTGGATGATCTTGGGCAAGTCACATTCTCAGCCCAAGAGGAAGGCAATATCCACTCTCCTTTGATCAAATCTTGTCAGGAAACCTCTACCATTAGTGATGGTTGACTAGCTCAAACATAATAACATACTGTAGAGTTTCTTTTTAGTTGCAATTGTACTGAGAAAAGTGTCTGCTGAGAAGGAGACCTGACTTTAGAAGCTTCCCTTTCCCCAAGGAAACCTGGATAACCTTATGAGGTTGTGCCCTGGTAACAATAGAAACACAATGTCTGGAGATTGATCTTGTAAGCGTATCCTCTGGATGTGCTGAAGAAATCCCCAGGAGCCCAGATGTGCCCCCAACAGAATGCTAGGGCATATAACAATTGGGTTTTTATTATAAGAACACAATCTGAAGTGGTTCCACCACTCACTTACTTACTTGGAGATCACTAAGTACTGCTTTTCAGCTGATTTGATCAGGTGACGCTTAAGTTCTAATGTTATAAGTCAGTGCTTTATTTGGTCCTTTTGTTATTTCATTCCAGTCTGTAACCCATTGTAAGAAGCCCTAGTGGCCAGAATCAATAGTTTTATGAATACACATTTGCTGGCATCCTTTTTGATATTTACTATAGCATAAACTGGATGTACAATATTAAAGAATGATAATCTCTTGTTTGAAAAATGGAAACTTTAAGAGCCATGACATGATGCCACAAGTGGAAAATTCCACACTTGTCCTCATGTGACGGGTCACAAACAAAACACAGATGCACAACAGAAAGTTTATTCAGCATTGGTGCATCCCAGCCAGGATTCATCGTGCCCTCAACACTAGATAAAATCTCAAAAGTGGTAATAAAACTGTTTATTAAGAAAAGTACATATAAAACGGAAAAGTCACCATAAGAAATAAGAACTGTATATTCAATAGATGATGGGGAAAATTTGTTGTTTATTACTTCAGTCACTTTTGACTCTTCATGACCTCATGGATCAGCCCACACCAGAGCTCCCTGTCAGCTGTCACCATCCCCAGCTCCTTTAGAGTCCAGCCACTTCAAGAATATCATCCATCCATCTTGCCCTTGGTCGGCTCCTCTTTCTTTTTCCTTCCATTTTCCCCAGCATCATTCCCTTCTCTAAGCTTTCCTGTCTTCTCATGATGTGGCCAAAGTACTTCACCTTTGCCTCTAATATCCTTCCCTCCAATAAGCAGTATGGAGTGGCTGGATCTTCTTGTGGTCCAAGGCACTTTCAGAATTTTCCTCCAGCACCACAGTTCAAAAGCATTTATCTTCCTTCGCTCAGCTTTCCTTATGGTCCAGCTCTCACATCCATAGGTTACTATGGGGAATACCATTGCTTTGACTATGTGGATGTTCGTTGCCAGTGTGATGTTTCTATTCTTCACTATTTTATCGAGGTTGGTCATTGCTCTCCTCCCAAGAAGTAAATGTCTTCTGATTTCCTGGCTGCAGTCATCAAATAATAAGGCAATCCTAACTGGCAATAGGGGAAAATACTCCAAAGACAATAATCCAAACAGGTCAAATCTGTTCAATATAACAAAGTACAGGAAAAACCAGAAGCAAAACATGAGCATAATCCAGGAAAACAAAAATCTCACCATGAACATGAATCCAAAAGCAAACTTCTTAAAATATGAAAATAAACTCTCAAGATCTAAAACCCAAAACATGAACTGGAAACTAGGTCCTCACTGCTTCGCAGCATTCCCAAAGAGACGCTGCTCTGATTTAAGGACTGCAAAACCTGAAGGCATTCTTGTGATGTTGAGTCCTTTGCCTGTGAGATTTTAGACGCTCTTCCTTTACAATCTTTTCAGTTTCACTGATTCCTCTCTAAGATCATGCTTGATACGCCTGTCGAGCACAGGTGTTCTTTCCGTTGAGCTTTCTCACCCATCCACTTTGTTATCTGGGGTTGCTATGCTACCAGTAAGCAAAAGGTCTCTATCAATCCCTACATCTCCCTGTGTGCGAAACTCCAACACAGTTTCATTTTCAAGCCTATTCTCACAGAGAGAATTTTGCTCTAAAATGTCCTCATTGAAAAAAACCACCCACCACTCTCTCAGGCTCTGAAATACCAATCCCCTCATCTTCATCGGGCTAAACCACAACAAGCATCTCCATGAGGAGGATTGCCTGTCAGCTCCCTTCAACTGCAATACGTAGAGTGCCATAACTATGGGGTTTGGTCCCAAGGCTCCTTTATCAGGAGAAGAGCAGGATATAAATGAATAGCCACATAGTCACAAGAACAGGGATAGGGCCCTCAGAAAGCTTAGGAGGAACCAAATATTGAATGTATGTCTAACACCATCTCCATTAGGTAGAAATAAGGGATATGATTCTGAACAGTCCAAGATATTATATTGATTTTCCCTTTTTCATTCTCTTTTAGGTGATTCATTTACAGCACACAGGGGCCTTGCATTCTCCACACGAGACAGGGACAATGATGTCCATGAATCAGGAAGCTGTGCTGTGATGTATAAGGGAGGCTGGTGGTATGGTGTCTGCCACTCTTCTAACCTGAATGGCCTGTACCTCAGAGGGGAACACACCTCTTATGCTGATGGCATCAACTGGGCCGCTGGAAAGGGGCACCATTATTCTTATAAATATGCAGATATGAAAATTCGACCTCAATAAATGAAATATCTCTCTCTTCAGACTATTATATAGACATGGTCCTTAAATTTACTCGTAGATTTTTTTAAGTGTGCGCCGAACAGAAAAACATTGAATCTGCCACTTGAAATATTGAGTGCAAAGCCTTTAACACCCCCATACAATGAGAATATAGGCAAGCACTCTCTTTTTAACTTGTACATGGAATCTCTATATGAGACAGAGGGACAATTGTAGTTTGATTGGAAAAGATGGTTTGGTGGTGATGTTTGCTCAGTTGTACTTTGTGTTGGGTTTCATTTTACATAGCTTGAGATACGGCCTGCACTGGAAACAATCTTCCAATGAATTAGAGTTGGCCACTTGTTTAGATACCGTAGTGACCTCAGAAACAAAAATTATACAGAATTGAGGTAACTACTTTTTAAAAAACAACAAAATTTCCATTTTCAAAAACTTCATTCCTTAAGTTATGGCAGGGGAAGCAAGACAATGACTGGGTCTAAAGCTAAGGAAACATTGTGAACGCATACATAGATAAGTTTGAACTGGCAATTAAGTTTGAATATATGTACATTTTTACTTGAAGTCATTTTGATATCATTTTTGGATTGGAAACATGGGGAAAGATGTGTTTTGCTGAAGGACTTCTCTCTTAACAAGTCTACCCTGATCATCAAACGAGCTCAGGGTGGTCTGCCAGTTAACCATTTCTGTGTCTTTTAACTTATTTCAATTTGTCTTTTTAATTTCTTAATAGTTTAATATTCTGAGCCTTTTAAAATCATTTCTTATTTTTTAATTGTTTAAAAATTGTTGAATTGTTTTTAATGTACACTTCTTTGAGATTTCTAGATAGAGGGCAAGAAATGGAATTTTAAAAAAATAAATTAATAAATGCTATCTCAAGTGACTATTCCTCAGTCTCCTATTTTCACTAGTCTGGCAACTGCACTGTCAAAGGGGCAAATGGGTTTCTGCCCTCCAAGCAAGAAGTATTTCTTGCAGCAAGGCTACTCAGATTACAGGCTGGGGGTAGAGAAGGAGAAATAGTAAAACAAGAAGGCATGTCCGTTATTCAAAATGTGTTACCTCAGCACTAAAAAGCAAAATCCACTCTATCTAATTTATGTAGTCTGCTTGAGGTTAAAGATATTCTCTGTGTCCTTTCTGAAATCAGCTGCAAGTGAGGTCTCACTGGAAATAGACACATATTACAATCATTAGTGTAGAACAGATTATTTTAATGGGTTGGGGCCAGCATGGTTCTGCATCCAGGTTTGAGTCAATCTGCCTGATGATCAATGGCAACCAACTCATCCAGCCCGCTTGCTGGGTAAATCTGGGGTGATGGATGGAGAATTCAATGTGAGTAAAGGTCAAATTTAGTGGTTCCTTTGCCACCTGAATATGGACCTCATGTCCTCAAATTGATCAAAATCCTGGTTGCCCATGATCTCAATGTCCCAAAAGAGGATTCTGAACAGAGTCTGATGGCCACAGGGCTCCATTTCCCCTCAACAGGATCTGGGCCTTGCATGTGCACCAAAGCTCTAATTGCTCTGTCTAAGACTTTCTTTTTATTGCATGAGCTATTCAACAGCGGAACAAACTCTCAATCTCTGGAGGTCTTTAAACAGAGATTGGATTCTCATTTTTCATGAGTGCCACTTTAATACCTCAAAGTGGGGGGGAAATCCACAAGAGTTCATGTTTGCCAGAATGACAGAATGAAGGTATCTCTGCAAAAAACTACTGAAGCCCTCACTGATTTTTTTTTGATGTTCTGTATAAAGATTTCAGTTGTGAGATTGATAAGATCTACAGACTGAATTCCTATGTGACTAGACAGAATTTTGTCCAGAGACATGGTGGTTAATTCTGTTAGATCTGAGAACTGCGATTTGGTACGAGAGTAACATTCTCTAAATAAATTGATAGTTAATACTCAGTAGCTGATTTTGTTTAAGGATAGAGCTCTTCGTGACACAAAAGATAAAGGGAAAGGACATCCCATTTAGATGGAAGAAATTAGAGAAAATTTATCTCCAATCAAAAAATTTCAAAGTGCAAAAGGTGAAAGAATTCCTGGAAATATACAGAGATCGCTTTGGTCCATATGAAAGGAAAAGAGAGGGAAAAAAACAGGAGGATTAAGCTTGTGGACAAAAAAGGCAAGGGATGACACAGGCTCATGTGGACAAGGTGAAATAGATACAAATGGATAAAGCAAAATGATGGATATAACATTATTGAACCAGAATGTCCGAGGGTTGAATGAGACCCATAAATGAACACAGACATTCCACTATTTGGAAAAACAGGAAGCAAGATGTGCCTACAAAAGACACACATTAAGAAAAAAGTGAGAGTTTGCCTTTTAATTTGAAACTGAGGCTACATTTCTCAATTTTAATGAAGAAGAAAAGAAGCAGATAGTAATCTATGTGAATTAAAGATATGTGACCAAAAAAATATTTGAGTCTACTGGGAGGAGGCTGATAGCCATGCAGCGAATGGCTTTCACGGTGTTCAGCCTTATTCCTCTCACACTTAGCAGCAATTTCCTGTCGCACATCGGGGGAGGGGGGCAATGCCAGCTAGCTTGTAGAGTTTATCAACAGGTGTAAGTTTAAGACATCCTGTGATTATTCTGCATATTTTATTCAATGCTATGTTCACCTGCTTTGCATATGCAGACTTGTGCCAAACAGGGCAGGCATACTCTGCAGTGGAGTAAGACAAAGCCAGGGCTGATGTTCCTATTATTTATTTATTTATTTATTTGATACACTTGTATACCGCTAATATCTCAGCCTAGAACGGCGACTCATTGCGGTTTACAGCAGTTAAGACAATCTACAATTTAAAAACATATACACATATAATAACAAATTCAATAACAAATTATTGGGCCACCAATAATAATCCCATATATCTCGAGTTGAAATCGCAATCCAGAATTCGTTGTCCATGTTTCCTGTCCTTAGTCATCAATATTCGAATTAATTTTGGGTCTGCTCCCCATGTGCTGCCAGTAAGTTTCTGCAGGGTGTTATTGCGTGCAGCTACTTTGTGCTTGATGTTCATGCAGTGTTAGTGTTCGATCTAAGTTAGTGTTCTATCTAAGGTGACACTGAGATATTTAGCATGGAAACAATGTTCAAGCTCTTGACCTTCCCTGGTAACTTTCAATTTCCTGTTGACTTCACGTTTCCATACATGGAAAGCACACATTGCGCCTTGGCAGGGTTAGGCTTCAGGTGGTTATCTTTGCAGTAGCTGGAGAGAGCTTTCAAGGCATTAGTAAGTTGGATTTTGACTGTTTCAAAGCATTTTGCTTGTGTTGTTAGGCCGAGATCATCAGCAGTTGGTGTTACATTTGCATATCCACAGTTGACCAGAGGGTCTATCCAGGTATCTCAGCAATTACCAGGCTCTTTCGCTACTCTTGGACATAACAAGATTCTCAAGCAGCTCTATCCAACAGTTTTTCTTAGCATTAGTTAGGGCTGTAGATAGGTTTTGGCTTGCTGCTATAGTCTTGTTGCTATATGGATTCTCTTGAAATAGTCTGAAATATTCCTGTATCTGGTTTAGCAATTCTTCATTTAGGCATGGTAGATAGCCTGCGCAACAGCCTCTAGGGATTAAGAACCTTGAGGATCTTTTCACAGCTTCTACAAACAGGTCATGGCCTTCTATAGATAATACTTAGAGGTGGGGAAAAATAGCTACAGGGGAAAAACAATAACAAATAACTATAAAATCCAGTATAGGTTGCTTCACTCATCATTATGACTCAGGCAAACAAGACATAGACAGAAAGTGAGTAAGAGTGAACAATAATATATAAGATCCAGGAAGAAGAACTTCTATCTAATACAGCAATGAGATAAAGGAAAAGAAACTTATACAACTCTGCAAAAGGATCAAAGCTCAAAGGCAGGTGTTATTCAACAGGAGGAAATGTTTGCTAAATAAGGGGGTTGCACAATTCAGAGGTTTCAAATGTTTGCTGTAGAAAGGGAATATATTTAAATGAAATGTCAGGTATGACAACTCTTCTGAAAGCAGCCATTTCAAAACAGAGTATTTCAGTCCAGCCCTCATCAGACAAAATTTATAAACATTTACACATGCCATTATTTACCGAACTATTTGCTCTCTATAAAAGGGGGTACTAGGGCATTTGGAGACAAATCTAGGGAGGTAACCTGGTCAGTTCCACAGGTAAGATGGCTGGCTGGCTGGGGTTTCACCTAGCTGTGACCTGCTTTGCTGTCATGTCTATGCAGAGAGGAATCTTTGGAGAAGAGACAGACGCCAACTGCTGTGAACGTGAGTCAAACTGGGAGGGAAGGACAAATGGTATTTGTTTCTCCTGGGCAGGACCCAGGTCACTGGAGGAGAGGACTCCTGTGCCTTTCAAGTATGTGCAGAAAGAGAATTTGAGCACTGCTCACATTGCTGTAGCAATTTCACAAGAGATGCTGGCTGAACTTCTTCTGCATCCAACTCCATTCCTAGATTACATATATGAAATGGGTGGTGTAGGGCTGGTGCAAACCCAGTATTGTTTGCTGCACTGTAATGACTCACTTAGGTTTATGATCTACCATTTTGTTTTTGCTTTCCTATCTCATTGCAGAGCTGAAGGGCTTATCACAGTGTGGAACGGACAAGGTCTTTTTCCAAGGTCAGCCAGGCACCGCAGGAATACCTGGCATCCCAGGAACAAATGGGTTGCCCGGAATGAAGGGAGACCCTGGATTCCAGGGGCCCCCAGGTGAGACAAGGGCTTTCCGAACTGCAAATCTGTTGCAAACCAGAGGCAACAGTTTTCTTTCTGTGTTTCATCTCTAACAGATTAATATTATCATCAAATGACAGGTGCATCTGGAAGGGGGGAGGTTATTAGCATAATTGTTTAAAATGTAAATTACAATTGGAATTGTGTTTGACACATGCACAATGTAACAGAACAGGATATAGTTGTCATCACACAAACTTCCAGTGAGGCTCTGTGGACAAAGCATCCTGACAGCATGGTAGGACACTTCCCTCGGAACACAAGAGGCTTCCCGTGTTCCATAGACACCAACGGGAGGAAGCCAGGCAGTGACTCTTCCCCCCATGGGGTGCAGCAGACAATGCAGTTTGTGGGGCAACAGTTTCTCCCATGGATTCACCATGTTGCATGGCAAATCCAACCACTGCCCAAAGAATTACAATCTCACTGTGATGAGGCCCCTAATCCAGGTTCTGAAAACCAACCAATTCCAATTCCTTGTTCATCGTTCAGGCTGATCTCTACTGATACCTGCATTTTACCATTACATTGGATGGCTTGAAGATATGGTGTCTTGAGAAGTTTCAAATGTTGTCTGATCTCTTTCCCTCATGTGAGGGAGGCTCTGCTGGGGCACCTGGGAAAGCTGGACCCAAGGGAGAGAAAGGAGAGCAAGGTAAGTTCCCCTATAGCAGGGGGTTGCAGGTGAAGCCTAGCCCAAGCAAACATCACAAGCTGCACTAGACTTTATGATTTAGCTGATTAGATGTGTGCAAAAATGGGGCTAGAGTGGAAGAAGTTTTGCTAATTTTTGATTTTCTAGGTAAAATAAATTCATATTTTAAAAAAATGCAGTGTCAATATACAGGGCTGCCAAAGCTTTTCTCGTTCTTGTTTTAATTCTGACATGGACATCATCTTTGTTGAATTCAGAAATTTGCTTTTTCTTTCTACAGGAGAGGAATGCACTCTTGCTAAGTGTCAGCATCATGGTACGTCTTGTCATCACTACCACAGACAATGTGGTTGAGCCCTTTTTCAACAATGGTGTGATCCTCTTATCCAAATAATCAGATATATTGCACCATCAAAGTCAAAGTAGATGAGACTCATTAGGGACCTTGCCATGCGTGCTGCTGGAATCACCATAGATTGCTGTGATCTCAGTGGTGCCCACCCAGGGAGTGTGGGGACCTGTTGCCCCATGCCCCACACTGTCCCAGTTTCCCCCTACCTCATCAAAAGGAGAGAAGCATGAAGAAGCCAGCTGTTCCAATAAATTGCCATCGAAAGACAGAGAGCCTTTTTTCAGCGGCAACAGGGTTCGGCCAACAGTTACTCCATGGAACCACCACAAAAGTAATTTTCCAGGGTGTCGTGGGAGCCTGTCGCTACCACCAAATGCCTGTTGCTACCATCAAATTTTGGGTCATGTGAAGAGGTCCAAGGACTTATAAATTAAAAATGCATTAAATGATGAAGCATACACATACACAAAACAGATTTGCAACTTATCATGGAATATTAGTATTACTATTACTGTTACTATAGCAGACTCTCAGGGCCCTTCTGGACTGGTCCCAAAATGCAGGACCTGTCAGACTACCTAAAGCGTCCAAACAGTGCCCCAGGTAAAAGCGAATTAATTCAGGACAAAGCAAGTAAACCCCGCTTGTCCCGAATTAATTTGATACCCCATTAGATCCAGGCCTTCCTGAAAGGCCCTGGTCTAATGGGGCATTGGGTCTATGGGGTCTCACACAGGGGTAATTCGAGGACTACCAACAACAACAACAAAATTTTATTTATATACCGCTCTATCCACCCCAAGGGGGTGGGCCGAGGCAAGTGCAATTTCTAAAAGGCCCAGGAAAAACGGTGCAATGCTATGGGAGGCTGGAACAATAATAGGTATAGTCTATGGCTGTCCATTTCCAGGGCCTAATAGGAGGAAGTGACCTGGGTAATTGGTAGAAAAAGATATGGCCTTATTCAACAATATCTGGAGCTGACATTGCTGCACAAAATGATCTAACGAACATAACGCAAGCTAGAGCCACTCCATACCTGGCCAAATTTAAATGTAATGTGGGTATGGAACCTTACCTCTCTTTTATACTTCCACTCTATATTAGAAATTTTTTTTACCCGGGCTAGATTTGAGCAGCTCGACATTAAGTCCAAGTTGGGACGACATCAGAATATCCCCTACAGGAGGAGAACCTGTGGGTGCCGTGAGGTAGATGCAGAAGTGGAGGACTCAGAACATTTTTTCTTAAAATGTCCCTACTACAACAGGATCCGGTCTTACTACCTAGAGCCTCTGCTGGAGAACCATATTCATTTAGAGAATAAGGAGATATTGCACATCCTCCTTCAGGGTTCAGATAAAAACTCTATCTTAAAATTGACCCTTTTTACCCAAAAAGCGCTAGCCATCTGTGAGAAGATGGAAGCAGAGAGAGGCGACCTTGCTGCCATCAAAAAAACTCAAACTTAAAAACTTAATATGGACACGCCACTAGTTTTACCTACCTATGCCCCCCACCCTAACCCTATTTTAAGGAATTAATCAATTTTTAATCTTTTAACCTCTTTATCTTGTAGTTGCTCAATTATTTAGGAGTGGGTCGACAGGCCAGTAGGCCATGATGCTTTGTATTCATATATGGTTTTACTGTATGTGTATGATTTGCATGTTTTGCATGTTTTGATATGGTCAAAATTGACTAATCAATAAAGAATTGTTGTTAATATCTGGAGCTGAGCTAGAACTAGTCGTTATCAAAGACTTGTTTAAACCACCAGGTCTTCAAGTTCTTATGAAAGGAGGGGAGGGATGGAGCCAGTCTTATTTCTCTAGGAAGGGAATTCCAGAGGCAGGGGGCGACCACCCAGAAGGCCCTCTCTCTCGTCCCCACCAACTGTGCTTGTGACAATGGTGGAAGTGAAAGGAGGGCAAATGGGTCAATGAGTCACAACTGACTGATATACATGTTTACCCACTGTCACTTTTCAATGGAATCATCATTGCTTTTTTTAATTGTTTATGCATGCACCAAATTCACATGGCTGGGCAGAACACTAAATGTTCAGCATGTGAAACTTTGTTAGAACAATCCTGTGGCCAGCCCCAGAACTTACTATATTGCTGCAATAGAACCCCCACCCCATCCAAGAGCCTTTCTATGGCAGGTAGAGAATGGTGAAGCATCAGAGAAACATCAGAGACGGTACATCCCCACCACTTCTAGAAATTGTCCATCCCTGCAGTAGAGGGTTATGTGCATAAGCCTCTACTCTTCACCCTTCTCATGCATACTATACTATCAGAAGACAGATTGCATTGACCAGTTCAGACTTTCCTCTTTGGTGTTTCATCTAGAGGAAAGAGCCAAAGACTGCGAAGACCTTCTGGAGCGTGGAGAGACACTGAGTGGTTGGTATACAATCTACCCTGCTACGGAGAAAGCAATGAGCATCTTCTGTGACATGGAGACTGATGGAGGAGGCTGGCTGGTAAGCTTTAACAAATGATGCAAAACTGCTGTGTGTCATAGATATGCCCATGATCTGAACTGGCAACCATGTAAAATGAAGGGAAAATCACTGAACTTTCCCAAAGGAAAACATGGTACTTACTGCCTGCATCCCAGAACTACTCACCTGAATCAATGGTCATGTGAATGAGAAGAAGGGAGCCATGAAGGTATGTGCAAATCTCTCTTTTGTAATCCTTTTAAAGTCATTGCCAATTGGATCATTATGCTCACATAATTGACAGTTGTGCCAGTAATTTAATCTTCTTACACCTTGCACACTTGCCCTACTCTTCAAGTTGATAAGAAACACCTCTTCTACCACCCTACACATAGAGCAGGAGACGAGAAGCAATCATTGATGCAGAGCAGGACACCAGAAGCGCCCAGCCTGCTCTGGGGATACCAGAAGGTCCTGCCACCATTATTTTGGCTGCTGCTGGCTGCTGCCACCCTCCTGGTAACCAGTGTTACTCAGTAAGCAGACAGCATGGCCTTAGACATAGGGAACATCTACAAGGGACCCTTTATCCTGAAGGGGTTGCAAATCAGCTTTGTGGTGACTGTATGATGTATGGAGTTAATTTGGATTAATGTAGTCTTGAACCTCATTAATTAAAGGCATGTGATACTCCATCACTTGTTCCATTTTTTAGACCACTTCTGTTCGGGAAGCTGCTGTGGCTTTTTATGCCATCTTCCAACTTTCTTTGGACAAGAATGGCATCTAGTTTGGACTTTGTAATGCCCACCTAGCAGAAAAGTGGCAGTTTATGTTGCTTTGGGCAAGGAGTGGCTGCAACAACTATACCATCAGAGTAGGAAAGGTCAAAAGGAGAAAGCAATACTTCAGTTCCTCCTCCCCTCTCTCATGTTGCTTACTTGCTTCATTTATCACCATTCCAGGCACCAAGTGATGAACACCATTTTTGTGCCTGATGGGCACGCTAAAATCCAGAATGTTGGAGCAAGGTAAGGTGGCAGTCCAGCAGTGCTGAACCAATTCTGGCACTGCTGGACAGTGTGAACACCATCCAGCCACTAGGCAAGCTTGGAGGCATGCTTGTGCAGCTTCCATACAATCTTTCAGCCTTTTCAGTGGCCGTCCATATAGACAGCTGTCCATACAGAGTACCCCAGCATTACCATTTGTGGCCTGTGTAAAAGTGTCCTAAGTGTCAAATAGAGGAATGTTCTCATCAATCACCTACTGAAGAACATTCTAATAATTATACCACATGGCTTTTATTCCTAGACCAGGGATCCTCAAACTTTTAAAGCAGAGGTCTCTCAGACTGGTGGGGGGGGGAGGGGGGAGAGAGATAATAGTTTGGAAAAAATGAACAAATTACTAAGTACACTGTTCATATTGTATAGTGTAAAGAACTATACAATATTTAAAATGAAGAACAATTTTAACCAACATAAACTTACTGGCATTTCAATGGGAAGTGTGGACCAGGTTTTGGCTGATGAGATAGTCACACTAATTAGGATTGTTGCTATTGTGTGTCTTCAAGTCATTTCAGACTTAGGGTTGCCCTAAGTTTAGGGCAGGGGCTAGTAAGTGACCGAAGAGGGTCTCATCTGGCCTGTGGGCTTTCGTTTGGGGATCCCTGTCCTAGATAGTGTGCCTAATGCCTCCTTGTACCAGGAGATGCCTCTTCAGGGCATTAGGCCAGCCTAAAAGCGTCCATTTAGCAGTGAATCAGAAAACAGATTGCCTCTCAGTAGAAACACTGAAATATCACTCCCCTCTGTCCACATATAGGTTTTCCAAAGGAGACAGGATGGATCAGTGGATTTCTACCGTGACTGGCAGTCCTACAAAAATGGGTTTGGAAACCAAGCATCAGAATTTTGGTTGGGCAATGATAAAATCCATCTTCTCACAAACTCAGGTAATCCCATGTTGCTGCTGCTTGTTGCAGATACAACAGTATTCCTAGACTGCTGCAAAACATAGGATGCAGGTGTAGCGGTTGAAGTGGGATCAAACCGCTCCAATTGTGTGATGCAGCTTCACCCAGGGCTTCCTTCATCCTTGCCATGCCGCTAGGTTTTTGCTTTGTTCCTCTGGTTCATGGAAAAAAAGAGCAACAGTCTCTTCATTACCAAGGGAAAACAAGTGTCTTAACAAAGCATTAGAAATAGAACTGGGTCTTTTGAAAGCCTCTGCTTCCCCCTTGTGTGGGGTGGGGGTGTCTCCACTGCTCTTACGATATCTCAGAACTGGTGGTTTTCCATAGGTGGTGAGTTCACCCTCGGATGCTTATCAGAGGAGAAGCCCACAGTCCACCATCTTGCTTGGTCACTTAGAGAATACTCTATCTCTAACATGATTGTAAATAAGTCAATGAGTTTTTCTTGCAAACAATACTTACTCTATGACATGTTTCATCAGTAACACAGCAGCTGCGGATTGATGCAGAGGACTTCAATAACACCAGAACTTATGTAACATACAGTGGTTTCAAAATCTCAAGCGAGGAAGAAAAGTATACACTTTCAATGGTCTCTTATGTAGATGGCAATATGGGTAAGTTACACTTTTGGAACATAGAGGATCTGTATAGCAGATAACAATAGCAATGTGGAGAGACGGCTGTAATTTTAGTCAACTTCATGTGTTGTTGCCCTTGATAAATGTGTCCTATCCAGCGTAAATTTGCAAAAATATTTCTTAAAATATCATGTATAGTGAATTCAATCATTATATTTTGCATATGGAAATATGTGTCAGTGTGGTTTTATGGTTTGAATATTGTATTAGGATTTTGGGAGATCAGGATTTGGGCCCTTGTGGAAACTCACTGGATGATCTTGGGCAAGTCACACTCCCAGCCTAAGAGGAAGGCAATATCTACTCTCCTTTTATCAGATCTTTTGGGGGAAAACTCTACAACGGCTTTACTATTAGTGAGAGTTGACTAGCTCATGCATAATAACATACTGTAAAGTTTGTTTTTAGCTGCAATCGTATTGAGAAGAGTGCCCGCTGAGGACACTACATGACTTTAGAAGCTCCCCTGGAGAACCTTCTCAGGTTGTGCCCTGATAACAGTAGAATTATAATGTCTGGAGATTGATCTTGTAAGTCTATCCTCTGGCTGTGCCGAAGAAAACACTCTGGTGCCCAGATGTGCCTCCAACAGAGTGCCAGGGCATATAACAATTGGGTTTTTATTATAAGAACGCCATCTGAAGTGGTTTCACCACTCACTTACTTAGAAATCACTGACTACTGCTATTCAGCTGATGTGATCAGGTGAAAATGTATTGTCGAAGGCTTTCATGGCTGGAATCACTGGGTTATTGTAGTTTTTTGTGTTGTATGGCCATGTTCTAGAAGCATCCCCTCCTGATGTTTCGCTTGCATCTATGGCAGGCATCCTCAGAGGTTGTGAGTTCTGTTGGAAACTAGCTGTAGCGGGGGGCCCTCCAGCGCTGGAGTGCCATTCGGGGGAAAGAAGAGTCTGGCGGTGGAGAGCGTCTGCTCTTCGGATGTGGAGGAGAACCTTCGTCTCAATTTGGTGCCCCTCCACTCTGGACATGCATGGCTCGGGCTGGCTGTGATCCCCCTCCCCAAAAAGACTCCTTTCCCCTTCCATGGTGAGCCTTCGTCCCTGGGAGTCGCCTTAGGAGCTGCTTGAGGTGCCTCAGCCCTTCCTTCTCTCACCAGGAGCCTTTAATTGATGAACTGGAACTGAATATCTTGACACTGTCCTGCTGACTTGTGACTATTGGAAATGGAGCCAAAAGTTGGCAACCTTACATTTGGCTTCCAGCAAAGCTTGGTGTCAGATGATGACTCTGGATGTGCCTTAGAAGAATATTCATGGGTTCCTCCAGGTCTTAGACCAGAACAGGTACAACTGTACTTTGCTTGTCTGTCAGAGGAGAAGATTCCTTACGTTAACAGTCCGGGAGAGAAACATCAAATTAAACAGCTTCTTTATCAGCTACCACCCCATGATAATGAGGTGAGATACTGTCAATCTTTAAGTGAAGAAGAGAAGAAGGAACTTCAGATATTTAGTTCCCAAAGAAAGAAGGAAGCACTGGGACGAGGCACAGTCAAATTACTTCCTCTTTGTGAACAGTGTGGTACAAAGATAAATGGAGGTGAAGTTGCAGTATTTGCTTCAAGAGCTGGACCTGGAGTTTGCTGGCATCGATCCTGTTTTGTGTGCTTTACATGCAATGAACTCCTTGTTGACTTAATCTATTTCTACTAAGATGGGAAAATCCATTGTGGCAGACACCATGCTGAACTACTCAAGCCACGATGTTCTGCGTGTGATGAGATCATTTTTGCTGATGAATGCACAGAAGCAGAAGGTCGTCATTGGCACATGAAACACTTCTGTTGCCTTGAGTGTGAAACCATACTTGGAGGACAGAGATACATAATGAAGGATGGGCGTCCATTCTGCTGTGGCTGTTTTGAATCTCTCTATGCAGAATATTGTGAAACTTGTGGGGAACTAGGAAAATTGGGTTTATATCTGTGGAAAGTCCAGGGTGGGAGAAAGAACTCTTGGGCCATCCAGTCCAACCCCCTGCCAAGAAGCAGGAAAATGGCATTCAATTGAAACATTCACACCTACCTCAAACAGACAAGAGTTCTTTCTCACACCCTGGACTTTCCACAGATACATAAACCCAATTTTCCTAGTTTCCAACAGATCTCACAACTTCTGAGGATGCCTGCCATAGATACAGGCAAAACATTAGGAGAGAATGCTTCTAGAACATGGCCATACAGCCCAAAAAACCTACAACAACTCAATGATCAGGTGACTCTCAAGTTCTAATGTTTTAAGACAGTGCTTTATTTGGTCCTTTTGTTATTTCACTCCTGTGTAACCCATTGTAAGAAGACCTAGTGGCCAGAATCAATAGCCTTATGAATACACATTGGATGGCATCCTTTTCAATATTTACAATATCATAATCTGGATATACAATATCGTAGGATGATCATCCCTTGTTTGAAAAACTGAAATATTCCACAATCTGAAACTTTAAGAGCCCACACATGATGCCACAAGTGGAAAATTCCATACTTGTCCTCATGTGACGGGTCACAAAGAAAACACAGATGCACAAAATAAAGTTTATTTAGCATCTCCATGAGAAGGATTGTCTATCAGCTCCCTTCAACTGCTATATATAGTGTGAGCCTTCTATACCTATGGGGTTTGGTCCCAAGGCTCCTTTATCAGGAGAAGAGCAGGATATAAATTAATAGCCACCCTAGTAACAAAAATAGGGACAGGGCCCTCAGAAAGCTTAGGAGGAATCAAATATTGAATGTATATCTATCTTCATCTCCATTAGGTTGAAATAAAGAATAAGATTCTAAGCAGTCTGAGGGATTGTATTTGATTTTCCCTTTTTCATTCCCTTTTAGGTGATTCACTTTCAGCACATGGGGGGCGTGCATTCTCCACACGAGACAGGGACAATGATAGCCATTATACAGAAAACTGTGCTGTGGTGTATAAGGGAAGCTGGTGGTATGGTGATTGCCACGCTTCCAACCTGAATGGCCTGTACCTCAGAGGGGAACACGCCACTTTTGGTGATGGCGTCAACTGGACCGCTGGAAAGGGATACCACTATTCTTACCAATATGTGGACATGAAAATTCGACCTCAGTAAATGAAATATCTCTCTCTTCAGGCTATTCAAATACACATGGACTTTAATTTGCTGGTAGATTTTGTTTTTGTGTGTGTGCCTAACAGAAAAACGTTGAATCCTGCCACTTAAAATATTGGATGCAAAGCCTCTAATGTCCCCATACAGTGAGAATATAGGTGAGAACTCTCTTTTTATCTTGTACATGGAATCTCTATATGAGACAGAGGGTCAACTGTTTGATTGGAAAAGGGTAATTTGGTGATGATGTTTGCTCAGTTGTACCTTGTCTTGGGTTTCATTTTGCCCAGCTTGAGATGATGTTGAGCACCCCCCCCCCCCCAAAAAAAAGGGATAGTGACTTATAGTTCTGCAAAGGGCAAGGGCACCAGACTACACAACAAGGGTTAAGTCTTGGTCACATTGCCAAGGCACTGACAACAATAAGGACCCCACGAGGCTTTTGGGAAATGGCTGGATCTTGGGACTTCTGCCCTTTGTGAGAGTTGTAGTTTCCCAAGGAACAAAAGCATGAATCAGTTGCAGCACAGCTGGGGTTTCATCTGCCAGCCTTCCCAATGATCATGGACTCTCTGCCTGCATGTCTTGGACTTCAGTACATACTATCTCCCTCATGAACTTTCCTCAAAGACCTTTTAAAACATTGGACTTCAGGCTTCTTCATGAAAATTAATTCTCTTATTAAATATACTTGGAATGTGGGACAAAGATAGGGTTTTGTTGCTATGAAATGTTTATGATTATGAATGTATGTATCTTGCTATGAAATATTGCCTTTCCCCTTTTGCCTTTTGCCCTAGAAAATGTGACCCAGGACTGTTGAAATGCTCGAGGGAGAACCACCACCTCCATTTCTTATTTGATTATTTCACATCTGCATGGAACAATAGCCATTTATGGTTTCCTTTGTCTCGCCCTCGGAGTTGGTCCAGTGAGATGAGGAAGTCTATTTGGAATACGGACATTATGATTGATTTACAAAGGGCAGCGTTGATCCCCCCTGAGGTCCGCTGCCCTGACCCTGTGTTTCCCTCACCAAAACCCCTCAAAGGACAATAAGCTGCATCGGCTGGAGACATTTTTCCTTTGTTTCGCTGAGCACATGGCCAGTTTCCATTAACCCATTCATGAACTCTCTTTATGTTCTGTCGTCCCGCCTCCCCTCTTCTGATTCGCTGGCCGGCGGGTGACAGGAGCCCTCCCCCTTGGATCCAGCATGCCCCTGAAGCTCCTTGATTAGTCCAGGAGCCCAGGGGATGGGAGGCTCCTCCCCAGCTGCTCGCCCTGTTGCCCAATCACAGCGGGGAATGTCAGGGGAGCCGGGGCAGGAAGTTTGAACTCTGGGTTTTCAAAAATTGTATAAATATGCCTGCATCACTGTGCTCCTGCATGCTTGTGGTGGAATTATCCCTACAATGCATCCGATTGCAGCTGAATCGCTAATAAAACACCTCGGTCACTGAAACTTCTTCCACTTTGGTGAGGATTTATTATTTTTAATATTTTTATCACTGAAATTGGCTTTGCTGGCCTCACCAAGGTTCCAGGACTATCTTTGGTGCGGTCTTCAGGGATCTCCTTGGCTGGGGAGACCCTCCTAAAAGCAGCTCGATATCAGAGATGCTGCCTGCACTTCCAATGAGTTAGAGTTGGCCACTTGTTTAGAACACACACGAACACACATATCAATACTGTAGTGACCTCAGAAACAAAAATTATACAGAATTGGGGCAACTGCTTTTTAAAAAAAACAACAAAATTTCCATTTTTCAAAAACCTCATTCTTTAAGTTGTGGCAGGAGAAGCAAGAGTATAATTGGGTCTAAAGCTTAAATTAAGGAAACATTGTGAAAGCATACAAAGATAAGTTTGAATTGGTAATTAAGTTTTAATATATGTACATTTGTATTTGAATCATTTTGATATAATTTTGTCAATTTTGGTTTGGAGACGTGGGGAAAGATGTGTTTTGCTGAAGGACTTCTCTCTTAACAAGGCTACCCTGATCATCAAGCAAGCCTGGCAGTTAACCATTTCTGGGTCTTTTAACTTGTTTCAATTTGTCTTTTTAATTTCTTAATATTTTAATATTGTGTAGTCTTTTTTAATTTCAAGTGTTTAAAGTTGTTGAATTGTTTTTAATGTACATTTCTTTGAGATTTCTAGGTAGAGGACAAGAAACTGAATTAAATTAATAAATGCTATCCAAAGTGACTATTCCCCAGCCTCCTATTGACACTGGTCTGGGCAAGTGCACTGCCAAAAGGGGCAAATGGATTTCTGCCCTTCTAGCAAGGACTATTTCTTGCAGCAAGGCTACTCAGATTACAGGCTCACAACACGGGGCTGGGGGTAGAGAAAGAGAAATAGTAAAACAAGAAGGCATGTCCATTATTCAAAATATGGTACCTCAGCACTAAAAAGCAAAATCCACTCTATCCAATTTATTTAGTCTGCTTGAGGTTAAAGATATTCTCGGTGTCCTTTCTTAAATCAGCTGCAAGTGAGGTCTCATTGGAAATGGACACATATTACAGTCATTAGTGTAAAACAGACCATTTTAATGGGTTGGGGCCAGCATGGTTCTGCATCCAGGTTTGAGTCAGTCTGCCTGATGATCAGTGGCAACCAACTCATCCAGCCCTCTTGCTGGGTAAATCTGGGGTGATGGATATAGAATTCCATGTGGGTAATGGACAAATTTAGTGGTTCCTTTGCCACTTGAATATGGACCGCATGCCCCCAAATTGATCAAAACCCTGGTTTCCCCTGACCTCAATGTCCCAAAAGGGGATTCCAAACTGTGTCTGATAGCCACAGGGCTCCATCTCCCCTCAACAGGATCGGACCTTGCATGTGCACCAAAACCCTAATTGCTCTGTTAAGTTTTCTTTTTACTGTATGACCTATGCAGTAGTGGAGTAGACTCCCCATCTTTGAAGGTCTTTAAACAGAGATTGGATGGGCATTTTTCATGAGTGGCACTTTTACATGCGGAGATAGTGTGGTCCATATGAATGGAAAAGAGAGAAAAAACAGGAGGATAAAGCTTGTGGAAAAGAAAAGACAAGGAATGACAAAGAAGACACAGGCTCATGTGGACAAGGTGAAATAGATACAAACAGATAAAGCAAAATGATAGATATGACATTATTTAACTGGAATGTCCATGGGTTAAATGAGGCCCATAAATGGAGGCAGACATTCCACTACTTGGAAAAATAGAAAACAAGATGTGCCTACAAAATACACACATTAAAAAAGTGAGAGATTGCCTTTTAATTTGAAACTGAAGCTATATTTCTCAACTTTGATGAAGAAGAAAAGAAGCAGATAGTTATCTATGTGAATAAGAGATATGTGAACAAAAAGATTTTCCAGTATAATGATAGATAATACTTAGGAGTGGAGAAGTATAACTACAGGGGGGAAACAATAACAAAGAACTATAAGATCCAGTATAGGTTGCTTCACTCATCATTATGACTCAGGCAAACAAGACACAGACAAAAAGTGAGTAAGAGTGAACAACGATATATAGGCTTCAGGAAGAAGCACTTCTATCTAAGACAGCAATGAGACAAAGGAAAAGAAACTTCTACAACTCAGCAAATGGATCAAAGTTCAAAGGTGGGTGCTATTCAACAGGAGGAAATACTTGCTAAATAAGGTGCTGCACAATTTGGAGGTTTCAAATGTTTGCTGTAAAAAGGGAATATAAAATGTCAGGTATGCCAGCTCTTGTGAAAACAGCCATTTCAAAACAGAATATTTCAGTCTAGCCCTCTTCAGTCATTTCCACGTGCCATTATTTAGAGAATGACTTGCTCTCTATATAAAGGGTACTAGGGCATTCATTCATAGACAAAGCCAGGAAGGTAACCTATGAGGCAAGATGGCTGGCCGGATGGGCTTTCACCTGGCTGTGACCTGCTTTGCTGTCATGTCTATGGAGAGAGGAAGCTTTGGAGAAGAGACAGAAGCTAGCTGCTGTGCACGTGAGTCAACTGGGAAGGAAGGACAAATGGTATTTGTTTCTCTCTGGCAGGACCCAGGTTACTGGAAGAAACGGCTCCTGTGCCTTTCAAATAATAATAATAATAATAATAATAATAATAATAATAATAATAATATATTATATCCCGCCCCCTCTCTAAACAGGACTTGAGGTGGGCTTACAGAGAGTAAAACACAGTGCAAAAACACAGAAATAAAACACGATACATAAACAATAATATCAAAAACCTAACAGAAAATAAAAACACAATATAAAAAACAAAGCAAAATAAAAAACACAGATAATACATAAGAGCAATATCAAAAACCTAACTGACATAACAATAGCAAAATAGAAAGTAATGTGAGTTTAAAATTTGTTATCTACCAGAGGCAAAACCAGTTCAAGCCAGTTGGCATTAGTGCAGCTATAAACCACCATACAGTAGAATTATAAAACAATCATTTTCAAATGTCTGTATAATGGATTGGCCTACCTTGAAGAGTTGGTGTAAAATTCAGTAAACAGGCCTGGCTGGCCAAAGCTAAGAAGAGCTGAAGGGTGGAGCCATCAAGCAGCCTCATAGCTGAGGTGCAGTCTGATTAGCTGATGAAATTGGAGGGAAACGCTGAGGTGCAGTCTGATTAGCTGATGAAATTGGAGGGAAACGCTGAGTAACTGGAGATGGGCACAGTCAGAGGAAAAGAGAAGCTAAGGCAGCCATTTTAAGTCAGTTGGGAGTTTGGAGTCTGAAGAATGGTTAGGGGTTTTGAAGGAAAGGAAGGAAGAGTTTTGGGAACTGTTTGTGGTTTAAAGATACCTCTTTGAGGAAAATAGTTAGGCCTCTATAGTGATTAGAGTGCTAGTGTGAAAGGAAGGTTCAAAAGGTTCAAAAGATCCTGTTTGTATTCCTTTGTGGGGAACTTGGCTTGAGAAACTTAAGTTATAAGACCATTCTCTGACAAAAAATAAAGACTTATTAATCTTATTTACTGTTCCAGAACAAAATAAACAACATAATTCTTGTTTTATTTCAACTGAACACTTCACTTTTTAAATATTCCAGTGAAGGAGGCGGCCTATGAAATAATAAATTGGTGGCAGCAAAAGAAACCTTTAAATAAATCTTTGGTAGCAGCTAGGAAATAATTAATATACACTGGTAGTTTTCCACTGTCTGGCCTTGTGTGAGGGTGTGTGCACTCTGCTTCCACTACGGCCTCTCCTTGGGCCAGGCCTTACCTTTTGTCCCTCCATCCCTTCAGTCTTACATCTTTGTGTTGTTTGTTGCAGCCTTCTTCCATGTCCATGTTTTTAATTTTTTCTTAAAGGAAGCTAGGGAGGGAGCCTGTCTAATTTATTTAGGGAGTGCATTCCAGAGCCAGGAGACCACCACTGAGAAGGCCCTTTCCCCCTTTCCCCACCAACCGTGCTTCTGAGGGTGGTGGGACCATCAGAAGGGTCTCCCCAGAGGACCTTAAAGTATGTACAGAAAGAGAATTTGGGCATTGCTCACATTGTTGTAGCAATTTCACAAGAGATGCTGGCTGAACTTCTTCTGCATCCAATTCCATTCCTACATTACATGTAAGAAATTGGTAGTGTAGAGCTGGTGCAAACCCAGTATTGTTTGCTGCACTGTGATGACTCACTTAGGTTTATGATCTACCATTTTGTTTGTGCTTTCCCATCTCGTTGCAGAGCTGAAGGGCTTATCGCAGTGTGGAATGGACAAGATCTTTCTCCAAGGCCAGGCAGGCATCCCAGGAATTCCTGGCATTCCAGGAACAAACGGGTTGCCCGGAATGAAAGGAGACCTCGGACTCCAGGGCTCCCCAGGTGAGACAAGGCCTGCCTGGACCACAGATCTGTTGCAAACCAGACCCAGTAGTTTTCTTCTCTGTCTTTAATCCAAAATAGATTAAAATTATCATCTGACAAAAGCCACTTCTGCAAGGGGCACTGTTATTAACGCTATCTGATTAAAATGTAAATTACAATTAAAACTGTGTTTTGTTTGCAACACATAAAATAGAAGAGCAAGACATGGTTGCCTTTTCCATTTCCTCTACCAGAAAGATTGGAGCAGCTTCCTGTAGCCATGGACAAAAACACACAGTCCTTGAAAGACCCCTTTCTATAAAAAGAAATGCATGTCTAAGAAGATGAAGAAGCTCAACACCAGAATGCTCACCAAGTTGTACTATTTTGTCCTCCAGGTTTTGTGCAGAATTCAGTACATTCCATTTCCTCTACAGAACATAATCTCCCCAATACTTAATTTACGTTACACATAAAAATAAAAGGGCGGAGGATTTCCCATGTTTGTTCGCAGTAGGCAACCAAAGTCTGAAGTTCTTTCTTGCTCCCCTCCCAGCTCAAAGTCCATGTGCAGTTATGTTTCATCAGAATTTTGTGGACCTTTTTTTTAAAAAAAGCAAGCTGCAAAATCAAATAATTGAGTTCAGAGGCAAGTTTGAATATTACACATTTGGGAAGGAAATATGTAAATGAAATGTTTAATTAAACAAGTGGAGAGACAAAACACATCACTGAAAATGCACACATTTGTTTTGGGGCAACAGGGAGAAATAAGCAAATGATTAACTGGGATTGAAGGGAAAGCACTCTCTTGGAGAGAAAAGCTAAATCGTAGAATCTGTACCATAAAATGGACTGCCAAAAAGTCCTCCACAAAAGGTAGTGTGGAATTTCTGACTTGTCAATCACCTTCTCAAAACTCATCTATTTCCACCTTGCTTCCATTCCACATTATTGCATCCAAATCAGCAAAACATGTGTGCTCCTCTTCTGCACTTCCCTTCCTGAACCAAGTGTTCTTTAACACATAGTTAAAGCAGTTGGAATCATCTTGCTAGAATTGTGGTGTGTTCCCTGTTTGTTCTTACTGTTCTGCAGTTATTAAAAAAAAAAGACAGATGCAGCAGGAGTGTGTGTGTGTGAGAGAGAGAGAGAATGAGAGAGAGAGAGAGAGCACCGACTACAAAAGGACCACACGGAGAATTTACACTGACTGATAATTAGGCAGCAATCTGTCATATGCCATGTCGAATCAGCCTCTGTTTGGGTCACACACAGATTCCCTCATCCATTGTAAAGGGAGGAGGGAATTCCAACTTTCCAGCAGCCATCCTAATCACCCCTTCCCACCTTCCGTGTTGCAGTGGTCTCCAGCTGCAACATGGGTCCTTCCTGTCCTCTGTCATCTGCAGCAGTATCAACTGAAATGATGGAGGTATGGGGGGGGGGGGAATGAGGAATTCCCCCCTTCTCTCCCCCTCCCTTCTGAGTGCTTCCTCACTTCATCTAATGTCACTGCTGATAATGATGGGCATTAGGACATGTGTCATGGCCACGACACAGAGGGCAGGAGGGGATGGTGACTGCCAACCCAGGGTCCTGGACTGTCCAAGGTGAGAAATACAGGATGGAAGAAGGAACAGTTGAAGCTGGTTCCACCATGGAGTCAGCCCAACTGTTTAGACATACCAAAGCCAGGCTATAGTCCAAATCCCCTGAGTTTGGTTAACATGGGAGCAAGGCCACATTAAGGTGTCCTTGTCTCGTGTTACCTTGGATCAGCTCTGTGCAATGTTTGAACTATAAATCATACAATCCCCCATTAAGCACAGCCAGCTGTGTTTTTAAAAAGGCATAGTCTACACACACACACACACACAAAATCCCTGATTTGTCTTTTTATCCAAAAAGCAACTTTTCTAAACTCTGGTTGTAGGTGGGTATATATGGGTAATCTTATGGGCAGAGACAATAGAAGTGGTGGGTGATTAAGAATTTCCTGTCTCCTTGGGGGTGGGGGGATGAAAGAGTAAAAGTCCAAGCCATCCGGGTAGGGACAGATTCATTATTATTTACTTATTATTATTTACTGCCTTCAAGGGATTCCTTCCTATAGAAGTAAATAGGAACGTTAAAGTCTTTATAAACTCAAGCTGAAATTTAATCTAGGTTCTGAAAACCAATCATTTCTAATCTCTCAGGCTGGTCACTATTGATTTCTACATTTTACCAATACATTGAATTGCTTGAAAACATGGAATACAGAGGTGTTTAAAATGTTTTCTGAAAAGCCGCTGATCTCTTCCCCTCAGGTGACAGAGGCCATGATGGGGCACCTGGGAAAGCTGGACCCAGGGGAGAGAAAGGAGACCACGGTAAGTTCCCTACAACCTCATTTGAAGAAATTGAAGCAGGATCACAGCTGAAACGTAGCCCACACAAACATTGCAAGCTGCACTCTCCTTTATGCTTCAGCTTATTACGTTTGTCTGCAAAAATAGGGCCAGAGTGGAAGAATCTTTGCATAATTCTACTTCCCCAGGTAAAATAAATTTGTATTTTTTGTAGTTCCAATAGACATTGCTCCCGAAACTGCTCTTATTCTCGTTTTAATTATGATGTGGGAATAAGCTTTGCTGACTTCAGAAACTGCTTTTCTCTTTCTACAGGAGAGGCATGCAGTCTTGCTAGATGTCAGCACCAAGGTATGTCTTATCGCCAATACCATCTTCAGCACGGATCCAAAACTGGGGTCAGGGCGTGATAGTATGGTTGAGTTCCCCTTAAGCAAGGCTTAATAATCAGTCTCGTTAGGAAATATCTATCAAAATGTATTAAATGACCAAGCATATGCACACATAGACAAGATAGATCTGAAACTTCATGTGGAAAGGATTGTTAACTTTGTTTTATATCTCACCAATATAGGCAGGCCTGTAGCCAGGGGGGGTTTTAGGGTTTTACCCCCCCGCCCAATTTTTTTCAGGTTAAAAAAAACCTGGCTTACTCATGAATTTTAACTGGTTTACCAAATCCCCATGCTAAGTCTATGAGACGCAAAAAATTAAGAGTCCCTCCAGAACTGCAAGCACTATCTCAAGCAAATATTGACAATTTATTCACACTGTCATTACTTGCAGCAATAGCCGATGTAACGAAGCAACCAAGTGGGGGAGGGGGGGTGTTGAATGCTCTCATTAAGGAGGCCAGACTTGGTGGAGGTGGTTGACAGGGGCAGAGCTGCAGGCTATTGAAGGCTGCTCTGCCCCCTACTGTGCTCTTTGCTTCAGCGTGAGCTAGGAGGCAGGTTACAAACCCACCCCCCTGAAATTTTCAACCCTGCCCGAAATTTTTTTCTGGCTACGGCCCTGAATATGGGTACTGAATACAGCTAACAATTAATGTAAAATGAAACAGAAGTCCCTCAGTTACCATGTCAACTCTTGTTTTTCCCCCTCTTCTATTCCCTTTCCTTCCTTCCTTCCTTCCCTTTCTTTTCATTCTTCATCCCAATGTTCATTCAGTCTTTGTCTCTGTTCACTCTTCTCCCTTTTTCTCTCTTCTCTCTCACACGCATGCAATTTACTGAAGTATTAAGGAGCAAAAGAGGGAGGATTATAATGCCCAGGAAAGCAACCCAGAAGCTGTCTGATGAAATGTATTTCTTAGTTCTGATTTCCGCTTCCTTGGGGCAGGGTAGAGAAGCCTGCCACCTCATGGAGGAATATGATACTCTAGAGTAAAATTATAATGTTATAAAATAACCCTGGGGGTTATAGGCAAAGCCAGGAATGTTAGCAGAACAGCAATGATTTAAAGCTAACCATTAGGCTCTGAAAATCAAATGTGCAGATAGTTTTTTGAAAGCTGTCTGAGGTACCTGGGAGTCATAGATTTTCAGTGTCAGCTTTGCATCAACCAGACCTTTGCCTCTTGCTCTTTCCACCTGGGGACACTAAAGTGGAAGTGCTGCAAATACTGGGTCACAGTGGGCTGATACAGATATACTCATTACCTTATACACTGTTACTTTTCAGTGGAGTCACCATTGCTTTTTTTTTCCAAAGAAGAAGCAAGATAGATCATTCTGGGCTCATCCAGACAGGACCCAAAAGGTGGGCCCTGGACTTTTACCTGAGACATCCAAATGACACCTCATGTTGCACCTCAGAGTAGATTCACCTTGCTGAAAAACACCACACTGCACACAGCAGAAGTCTTTATGGTTTATTAAAAATAAAAGGTAAAGAGTTCATAAAAGCAAAGGTTAATGTTCCAAAAGATCAGAATAACATAGCACTTGGAGCATAATCCAATAGGCATCAGCAAAGCAAGACCCAGGAGAACTTGACAAAGTCCTAGAAACCATGAACACAAAGACTGCAAGATAATCCAGCCTAGCCCATGCAAGGTCCAAAACAACGCAAAGTTGTTTTAACAAAAGATCTGGTCTCAAACACGCTGTTTAATACCCTTTGCAAAACATGAAGGTGTTTCTCTGGCCTCTGGCCTCCCTCTTGTTTGCTATCCTCTCACTCCTTCGAACACAGAATTCCAACCAATCAGCCTGATCTAAAGTTCCCATATTGTCAAGGTCAATCTGTTTGTTAGCGTCAGCCTGTTTTTCATTATCAGGCTGAGAACCAGGCAAAGAGCTACCTTTATTCTCGGAGTCATTCTGCACCTGGCTATTTTCAGTATCAACGCTCTGCACTTCTTCTTCACTGTCTATAGCAGGGACATTTTGAACCAAACTGTGAACCTGAGTCCCATCATCCTCGTCAGCAACACTCTCTGATTCCAGCTGAGTCACAACACCTCAGGTGAAAGAGGAAGAATTTGTAAGAAAACAGGAAAACCCTGATTTCTCATGAATTATTTTGATACTCCATTAGACTAGGGTCTTTGTGAAAGAGCTGGGTCTAATGGTGTATGGGCCCTGTGGGGATAGACTACCAGGTAGTCTCAGACTACCCGGTTGTCTGTCCTCACAGCCCAATTTGCTTCTTCGGGCCCCGTGGACCTGGAGAAGCGAAAAAGGGTGAAAACAACTTACTTTAACCAGTTTTTGCCCACAATAAATTGCTATCTGGAAACACCCAATATCAGTTTCAAAAAATATTGCATTGAACTGTTTGTGCATGCACCTAATTCACATGTAAGATGAGATTTTACATGGATGTGTATAGCATTAAGAGTTCTGCATGTGGGACTCTATTACAGCTTCCCTGTGGCCATCCCCAGGACTCACTATGTTGCTTCAATACCACTGCAGCCCTGTCCTCAGCAGCCTTTCCATGGCTGGTAGAGAGTGCAGAGATGATCAGAGAAGCAGGCATGTTTCTAGAGATGGTGCTGCCCCCTGTAGTTCAGACAGGGAATCTGTGAGGCTACACCACTTCTAGAAATTGTTCATTTTTGCAATAAAGGGTTATATACATAAGCCTGTTTCCCTCCTCACACATATTATATTACCAGAAAGGAGACTGCATTTACCGGTTAACACATTCCTCCTTGATATGTCATGTAGAGGCAAGAGCCAAAGACTGCAAAGAGCTTCTGGGGCGTGGAGAGATGCTGAGTGGTTGGTATACAATCTACCCTGCCACAGGGAAAGCAATGGTCGTCTTCTGTGACATGGAGACTGACGGAGGAGGCTGGCTGGTAAGCTTTAAGAAATGGTGCAAGATATGAGCCCACAGTCTGCACTAAGAACCATGTAATGTGGAGGGAAAGTTACCGAAGTTTCCCTAAGGAAACATGGTGGATACTAGGCCTGTGCGGTTTCGTTCGTTAATTCCATAATTCGTTAAACATTCGTTAATTTTTGCATATACGAAACGATAACAAAACACTCTTTTAAACCCGGAAGGGTTTAAAAATAACGAAGCGGCATCCCCCATCCTTTTAACGAGTTTCCGCCTGTTTCGGAAATTGGATGGAGGATGCTGCTGGCTGGACGGTGCCTGGGAGCCAATCCGGCGCTCCGGCGCCCCTTTCTCTCTGCCCCGCCCCTCCCCCGCGAGCGCGCTTTGCCTCCTTGCTTGCTTGCTTGGCTTGCTTTCCCTTCCCGGCAGAAGGATGGCAGCGAGCAGCGCAGCGACTGCTGCAGCCGCGGCTGCGGCGGCCGAGAAGGAGGCGAGCCAGCAGAGCAGCCTGGGCGCCGCCGCCTACTCGCCTGTGGATTACATGCATCACCAGCTTTCCCCGGCTGCCCCGAGGAGGAGGCGGCGGCGGCGGCGGCAGGAGGAGGAGGAGGAGGGGGCTCGGAGAGCTGCCTCCGCTCCCGCAGGGAGGAGGATGCTTTGGAGTTCAACTCCCAGTGGGGACCCCCAAAGGTCATCCAGTCCATCCCCCCTAACGAATCGACCCCGCGGCAAAACATAAGCTTCGGAAATGTTTTGCGCATGCGCGCGGGGGTCCGCCATCTTTACAAAATGTTTTGTTAATATTTACGAAATTTCGTAAATACCAAAACTTTTTTGGGAAAGTTTTGTAATTATTTTAAATATCGAAACAAAAAAACACCCCAATTACAAATCGATTTTAGAAACAAATTTTTTCTTGATCAAACAGGCCTAGTGGATACTGACAGAGCACCAGAATTATTAATCTGAATCAATGATCATGTGGGTGAAAAGAAGGGAGTAATGAGGATATGAGCAAATCTCTCCTTTACAATCCTTTTAAAATCATTGCCAATTGGACCATTATGCTCACACAACTATTTATTATTTATTTATTATTATTTACAGTATACTGCTTTTCTCACCTATAGGGGACTCAAAGCGGTTTACACATAACTGGCAAAACTTCAATGCCATACATTGGACACTGACGCGATGCCAATCCATAACAACCACAATAATAAAACCACAATTAAACATAAATCATAATTAGACAGTACATAAGCAATCATTAAAACAATAAATAATAAAAACAGTCTCGCCAGTCGTATTGTGCCAGTGGTTCAAACTTTTCACACCTTGCACACTTGCCTCCTGGAACACAGTGCCAGTCAGTAAGCAGATCTTTTCAAAGCATCAGTATGATATTCGATTTGTGACACAGAACCTATTTACATGGACCCAAAATTGGGGCAAATCAGTTCTATGGTGGTCACATGTCATATGAAGCTTATTTCAGTTAACACATATTTGAATTATGTGGGCTACTCTAAAGTTTCCCTGAGGTTCCAATCAAGAACAGCTGTGTCTTTTTACACAGCCATCCCACTTTCCATGGGGTCAGGCAGCCTGGGGACAAGTGATAGTATCTACCTTGCCCTGACATTCTGGATTACATAGCTTCAGCAGACAAAAAAGTGGTAGTGTTTGTTGTTTGGTGCCTAAAGTGATGCTAGCTCAAGCAACAAGGCAATCAGAGAAGGGATGGCTGAAAGAATTGAGAAATTTCTTCTTTTCCCCTCCTCTCTCTTGCATTGCTTTGTTGCTCTATCTTTCATCAATCCAGGTGCTGAGCATTTATCACTACTATTTTCATGTCTGGTGGGCATCCTAATGCTCAGAGTAATGAGGAAAAGTAAGGTGGTGGTCCAGCAGCATTAATCATCCAGCCACCCGGCCAGCTTGGGGGCATGCAGTGTGGCCACCATCTAGTCCCTAATCTTGCTCAGCTGCTCACGATGCAGACCATGATGACGCTGATCTGGAGTAATCCAGTATCACCATTTGTGGCCTGGTTGGTATGCAGGTTCTGTCTGTGTTCGCATCAAGACCTTATTTTGTTTTTATTCTTCTGTTCATTGATGGTACCAAACAAGATTCGATCCTCTACTCCTTGGATCATGACAACCAATGTGTTATATGAATTAGTCTGAGAAAGTGACTTGTTCAGGTCATCCATTGAGCAGTTCTCTCTAACCACCACACTGCATGGCCTTTGTGTCATTACACCTCCTTGTAGTAGGAGAGGCTTCTTCAAACCCATTAAACCAGCCTAAGAGAACCCATCCAACACCGTTCCAGAAAACAACTTGACTCATAGTGGGAACACTAAAATAAAATTCCTCTCTGTCCACTCCTAGGTTTTCCAGAGGCGACAGGATGGATTAGTGGATTTCTACCGTGACTGGCAGTCCTACAAAAATGGGTTTGGAAACCAAGACTCTGAATTCTGGCTGGGCAATGATAAAATCCATCTACTCACAAACTCAGGTAAACCCATGTTACTCACAAACTCAGGTAAACCCATATTGTTCTATCTGCTTGTTGCAGATAGAACAATATTAACCATTGTTGAAAAACGAAATGTGGATTTCTAGTTAATTATGGAGAAAAATGTGACTATGTGGTTTACTGAACTGGGTGGTTAGAACATATATTTCCACACAGAATCTATCAGTATGAGATTATAAATCTGGAATATGAAGGATTTTAGAATTGGTTTTGTCGTGCTCCCACAGAAACCTCCACTGTTTTCCTCCTTAGTTAGGAGAGGTTAGCCTGCATATTGTAAATAACGATTATGGTAGAGATCCAGAGTTTACTTATTTAGGCGATCCCTCATTATCCAAGTAAGATTGTCCTCCAAGTTCGGTTTCCTGGCGGTGGGTCCGTAGGTGACTGTGAAGCCCTATTCTTGACCTGCATCTTCTTCCGCAGTGAGGGCAACAGTTTCCAGGTGGTCCTGGTCAGGGTTGGCTTGATGCACCTTCCTCTTGGCATGTTTCTCTCTTCCACTCCTCCATTCATGCCTCTTCAAATTCTATAGCACACTTGGTCACAGCTGACCTCCAGCTAGAGTGCTCGAGGGCCAGAGCTTCCCAGTTCTTGGTGTCAATCCACAGTTTTTAAGGTTTTTAAGGGATCCAGAATTAGCCCCTTCCCTTTAAGATATCCCTTTCCCCCTCCCCTTTCAGAAACTTCCCCAGGGATGGAGCCTCTCAGCTAGATTCAACTGCATCTCTGGAATTCAGCCATTAGACCAGAAGGTATCAGAGGAGTGAAGATGCTAAAAATATTCCACAGCAAGGTTGAAAGACAATGATTGATCTACAGAAGCAAAACAATTAAACAGTTGGTTCTGTGAGCAAAGTGGCTTTGTTGAAGACACAAAGAACAAATGAGAAAAGGGAATGGACAAGGTTTTTTGTTTTTGTTTTGTGTGTGTGTGTGTGTGTGTGTCAGGAAAACTACCCTAACGTATACAGCAGATCATCCAAAAACAAACAGGACACTTAAAGTTGAGCATTCAGCTCATTAGCGAGCAGAGCATGAAGTGCCCTGTGATATGGTTATAAAGAATTAAGAGCATAGGCAGGCAAAGATGCAGAGTCCAATTTTTTAATATCAACAAAGGTTTATTTACAATAATAAGAAATAACTGCATTTCTTAATAATCAAGAACTGGGTCTGAACTACTCTAACACCCATCTCTTTTAAGGTTTCAAAGAGAGAGAGAAAACACCAATCACTACATCTTTCCTGACACATGCATTACATCTCTCCTATCGGTCAGGAGCCATGCTGGCACAAGGGTTTAACCCATCGTGCTACCAGGGGCTCCAACAGACAAGTAGGCAAAGATCACTGTTAGATCAAATCCCCAACCTTTTAAAAGATTTTGCCAGTTAGATCAGGAAGAGTTGGGATTTGAAACTTGCTATTATTTTATTAAAGTCTTTATCAACTGTTCCTCTGAGTATATCAACTCTTCCCAGTAACATCCGGACACCTCCATGAAAACAGCTTGTGAGGGCAGAACAGATTTATATTAACTATTTCATAGGGAGAAATATTGCTTCTTATGCATGCTACTTTTTAATATTCCTCTAAAACAAGGATGAAGTTTCTATGGCTCCAGACAGGCCCGTAGCCAGGATTTCGTTTCGGGGGGGGGGGGGGGGGCAAAAAAAAATTCAGGGGGGGGGGGGGGGCTGAGTTTCGGGGGGGCTGAGTCTGAGTGAAAGAGGGTCTAGCCTAGCAAACCTTTTGTATCATTACCCCAATACCCCCATGCATATGGGATATATTGAGTATGGTGATCAGATCATGATATGAATAAACATAACAGTTTAAATAATGCACCAGTAAGGCCTTTTCGCGAACCACAATGAGAATTTCGGGGGGGGCTGACCCCCCCCCCCCCCCTGGCTACATGCCTGGCTCCAGATATTGCTGGACTGCAGCCTCTATCATCCTTCACCATTGATTATGTCTTCCAGCTGGTAGGAGTTGCAGGCCAACAGTATCAGTAGGATTACACATTTCCTACATTTATATTACAAGACCCCATACAAGACTGCTCTACAGGGGCATTGAATCAAGAACAGAAAGATCTTGATGCCACAGAAATTGAGCTCTCATTGGTCATATTGTGCACCCACTTTCTATTATTATAACCAGGAATGGGCTGTTAGGCATTGTGAGAGTTGAAGTCCAAGAGCCAAAGTTTGTCCATGCTTGATTATAACATTATAATGTCACTCTAAGCATCATGGATTTATAGATTGGTCAGATACTTGGAATTATCTGCTAAAGGGCTCCAGACCATTCTCTTCTGCAGTAGAGGTCTCCAGATGTCTTGATTTAATCCTTATCCCTGGGAAATTTGAGAAACTTAGTTGGGAAAACATAGTTCAAAGGAGTTCATTAGAGCCCTCTAACGGGAAATTCTGAACATTTCATGAAATTACAGATCCCAGGAGCCCATAGGATGCAATTATAACAGTTAAAGTGGAATAAAACTGCTTTAATTATATAAAGCAGATGCACCCTTGGCTTCCTTCACCCATGCCATGCCACTAGGAGTCTTGATTTATTCCTCCGCTTCATGGAAATACATCAGTAGAAACACTCTCTGAAGAAACTCACTACCTTAAACTTTATTTCCCCATATTTTTGAATTGAAATTACACGTTAACCAAATGTGAAAGCTGAACAGAGAATTCGGTCTCCAAGTCTAATACTTCCTCTGTGATATCTCTTACCAGGAACACAGCAGTTGCGGATTGATTTGAAGGACATGAGTGACACTACGACTTATGCAACGTACACTAATTTCAAAATCTCAAGTGAGGAAGAAAATTACACACTGTTTGTGGGCTCTTATATAGGTGGCAACATGGGTGAGTTACACTTTTGAACATGGAGGATCTGTAAAACATCAGTAAGGATATGGGAAGAAGTGTGCAAATTGCCCTTGATGGATGTGTCCAATCTGGCTTAAAATTTGCCTGAGCCTTTTTCAAAACATCATGCATAGTAGAGATTTTAAAGAGTTTGCATATACAGGAAGTCCCCAAATTACAAACATGTGATTTACAAATGACTCATAGTTAAGAACGGGGTGAGACAACAGGAAGTGACAGAAATCTACCTTTAAGAAAGAACATTAACCCCCGAAAGAGTTATCAGGTGTCTCCACTGAAGCTTTCTTGCCAAACCATTTTTTTTCAAAATCCAGTTATCATTCACAGGGACAGAAAGTGAGGTGAAATCTTCTGAACAGGGGCACAGACAGCCAAACAAACACCACAGAGGTTTTAACCCTTCCCTATGAGAGATAGATAGATAGATAGATAGATAGATAGATAGATAGATAGATAGATAGATAGATAGATAGATAGGCTGGAGTTACACTTAAGAAATGTACCTATTCCGACTTACCAAGAATTTCACCTTAAGAACAAACCTACAGAACCTGTCTTATTAGGAACTTGGGGACTGCCTGTAGTCTTTTAATGCATTGTAATATTTTCACGTTTAATGTGAAGAGAAAAAGCAGGATATTAATAATAATAATAACAACTACAACAATAAGTCAAGTTATATTTTAATTTTTTGTAAACCTGACATTTATACATTGTGTTAGCAGGTTATTTGTTTTTAATTTGCATTATTTTAAATATGCAATGTACTGTCCTAGATGAATAACAACACTAGAAACAACTAAAGGAACAGAACCCTTAGAAAGCTTAGAATGTACACCTCGCCCCAGTACATTGAAGTGAGGGATATAAGCTTCCATTCCCATCCCCAGATGTTGTCCATACCCTAGTCTACATGGAGTGGCAGTTAATCTTTCTGGTCCAAGAAAGGGGGTCTTTCCCAAACTTATATGGAGAAACAGGAACTGAACCTCCTTCTGCATGCAAACAATTTCCTTTGGTTTGATCATTTCCTTAATATTTTCTAGCAATGAATTTGCATTTTCATCACATAGAGAGCACATACTAAGTTGATTCTGAACTGTCCAAGAGTTTATATCTGCTTTTCCTTTTTTCATTCTCTTTCAGGTGATTCATTTTCAGGGCACAATGGCTTTGCATTCTCCACACGAGACAGGGACAATGATGGCCATGAATCAGGAAGCTGTGCTGTGCTGTATAAGGGAGGCTGGTGGTATAGCCAATGCCACACATCCAACCTGAATGGCCTGTACCTCAGAGGGGAACACACTTCTTATGCCAATGGCATCAACTGGGTTGCTGGAAAGGGGCACCATTATTCTTACAAATATGCAGAAATGAAAATTCGACCTCAGTAAATGAAATCTCTTTCTCTTCAGGCTGTTCTATGTCCACACCTTAATTCTTTTTAAAATCTGCCTTAAATTTACAGGAAGATTTTTTTTTATTACATGTGCACCTGGCAGAGCAAACCTTGAATGCTGAGCATTTTAAATACTGGGTGTAAGGTCTTTAATAAAGTCTGTATGTAGTTGAGTAATACTAAAAAGAAAAATGGGTTCCCCTAAAACTGTGGAGACCAAAATCCACTGATTGTGGTAATGTGAAAATAACTACATTAATTCAATGTATATGTTACAAATACACATATCAAAAAAACAGGACTGCCACATTCACATTGAGTAGAAACAACTCGTTCTTTTCTTGAAGTATAAAGCAAAGTCTTCATGTGAGTAAATGACCTGTTCTTTATTACATATGAGTAGACTCCAGTAGTATGAGTTGACTCCAACCTGCAACCGGTTTCGACTCATAAGAGCCATCAGGTGATTGGGTCTACAAACAACACATATCATGAATTCATACATACAATTGAAAAAATTGTTATATCAAGTTTGTAAGAATATATACAGACACTCTACTTACTCATATTATTGAAAAAGGTTAAAAAAAAAAGCTCAACTTTTGACTTGAGAAATTCACCAACAGTCTTAGGATCCACTCCTCCAGAAGACTGTTGGTGAATTTCTCACCTGATGAATTGGCGAATACTGCGTTCAGATCCCAGTAAGGTGGCCTTTTGCAGCTGGCAGATGATAATCTCTCAGTGCCGATTGTGTTTAATTGCAGGCCAAGGTGTTGTTGTTGTTGTTATTAGGTTGCTGTGAGTTTTCCAGGCTGTATGGCCATGTTCGAGAAGCATACTCTCCTGACATTTCTCCCACATCTATGGCAGGTTGTGAGGTGTGTTGGAAACTATGCAAGTGGAGATCATATATCTGTGGAATGTCCAGGAAAGAATGCTTCTGGAACATGGCCATACAGCCCGGAAAACTCACAGCAGCCCAGCGATTCCAATCATGAAAGCCTTCAACAACACATTATTATTTTATTATTATTATTATTATTATTATTATCAATAATAATAATACCCCACTTTATCTCCTGAAAGGGGACTCAAAGCGGCTTGACACAAAGGGGAAACATCACACATACTCACCACTACTATGGGGTAGGATGACTATTTCAAAATTAATTGCTGGATTGGTGTAACAGCTCTTGAAAATGATATAAAATTATATGATTCTTCTAAATTTTCCTCATTCCTAATATCAGGATATCTAATTCTGCAGAAGAAAGATCCATTAAAAATTCTTACATCACACACATATAAACTTGGATTGAAGATTGTGGCATGGGAGAGACATATTAACAATCTGAGGAAGTTGCATTTTATGGTACAGATGGATGGTGCATAGAATAGCCGTAGAATTGATACAATTTGACACCACTTTAACTGCCATGACTCAATGATACAATTGGACATCACTTTAACTGCCATGACTCAATGATACAATTGGACATCACTTTAACTGCCATGACTCAATGATACCATGAATTGTAGCACAGCACTCTTTGGCAGAGATGAAATACCTTGTAGAATTATAACTCCCAGGATTCCACAGCAATGAGCCAGGCTAGTCAAAGTGGTGTCTATCTGCAATAGTTCTACAGTGCTGATGCACCCACAGAAGGATGCATATCTTGACACTGATGTCCTGATTGTGAACCAAGGTAGTCATGACTTTGGACAACTAAACTCTGGTGTGATTAATAATCAACAAATCCTGGTCAATTTCTAGGCCTCCGCCCTCAATGGCTTCACACACTTCAATTGCCAAAAAGGCAAAAAGATTTTTCTCTTTCTCTGAAACAGTGCCTCCTTCCTGCAGGAGCATCACCAAGGTTGCAAGATCATAAGTTTGGGAGAAAAATGATTTCTGTGCAATTATATGTACAGTTTTCTTTTGCATAATGTTTTACCAGTGCAAATATATATATAATGGCAATGTAAAACAGGCAAGGCTTGAATAAACCTCACAGTTCTCTTTACAGCATTTGGGGAATTAAAAAAAATGACTTAGTCAGAAATTCTAAATACCATGTGCTTTTAAAGTGCTAATAGATAGCCATGTCTCCCAGTATTGTATCATTATAAAGCCTTGACCAGTTATTTGCACACCTACAAATAGTCACTTCATATCTACTTTCCAGATTCTTCTCCTCAAATGTTCCTGTAGTAATACACCTGTAACAACAAGTAATCTAGCCACACCTACCAGATATAAGGAAGAGAAAAAGAAATGCGCCAGCCTACAAAGCAAACAAACTCTGCAGTAACCTGCAACGACAGAAGGAGCATATTTACGGCATTGAATGTTTGCTGATTTTGTTGTTTACCACCCTGAGTCCCTTCAGGGAGATAGGACAGTATATAAATAAAGTTTATTATTATTTAGGTTGTGTGCAAATGTTATACATGATGTGGGAATAGATTCAGAGTAAGGGAGGAGAAACTGGAGGAGAAAAACAATAATTTAAGATACAAAATATCACATATTACTAGCAGAAAATAGCAAAGACACAGAATGGCTGCTGGTGAAAATTAAAGAAGAAAGTACAAAACCAGGATTGAAATTATCCATTAAGAAAATAAAAATAGTAACCACATAAAATGTATAAGATTTAAAGATTTAAAGTGGATGCAGACTAGACTGAAGTACTTAAAAAAAGACTTTCCATGCTTTGGCTCAGTTATAAATCAAAATAGAAGGTATAATTAAGAAATCAGAAAAAGACTAGTCTTATCTACACTAGTCAAAATTCTGGGCTCACCTCAAATAGAAGGCATTCAAAGCACCCCTAAGCCTCTGCATAAGAGCCTCCAAAGAAGGAACCTCCACCACACTCCAGGGTAGAGAGTTCCACTGCTGAACAGCTCTCACAGTCAGGAAGTTCTTCCACATGTTCAGATGGAACCTCCTCTCTTGCAGTTTGAAGCCATTGTTCCATGTTCAGAAAACAAGCCTCCTCCCTCCTCCCTATGACTTCCCCTTACACATTTATACATTGTCATCATGTCTCTTCTCAGGCGTCTCTTCTGCAGGCTAAACATGCCCAGCTCTTTAAGCCACTCTTCATAGGGCTTTTTTTCCAGACCCTTGATTATTTTAGTCACCCTCCTATGGACACATTCCAGCTTGTCAACATCTCCCTTCAATTGCGGTGCCCAGAATTGGACACAGTGTGAGTCCAGATGTGGTCTGACCAAAGCAGAATAGAGGGGTGGCATTACTTCCCTGGATTTATACAGGCCAAAATCCCATTGGCTTTTTTGGCCGCTGCATGACATTCCTGGCTCATGTTTAACTTGTTGTCCACAAGGACTCCAAGATCTTTTTCACGTGTACTGCTACTGAGCCAGGCATCGTCCCCCATTCTGTATCTTTGCATTTCAACTGCCATATAACTAGAATAAGTTGTAGTATGGAACTGGCAGAGCTGTATTGTACAGAGCAGCATGTGAATGACAGGGGTGGGGGTGAGGGGAGTTTATATCCAGGAATACATTATGTCACAAGACATAATGGTGTGAAATGTCTTGAAATTAGTATTTATTTATTTATTTATTGTACCAGAAGCAAACCGAGGGTACAGTTCTAATGTATTTAAGAACACAAACAAAGATTAAAAACATGGCATTATACTAAATGTCCTTTGTACATTACAGTACCTGGCTAGTTGGCGTGCCTCTGATGTTGCTATAAGAAGGTCCTCCATTGTGCATGTGGCAGGGCTCAGGCTGCATTGTAGTAGATAGTCTGTGCTTTGCCCTTCTCCACACCTGCATGTTGTGGATTCCACTTTGTAAATGTAAATGTTGCAAGCATTGTAAATACTGCAAAACTAAGTATGTCTCATTTGATTGTAATTGTTAGCAAATGTGTTTGTAGTACGTATTCATTATAATAAAAAATACACACACATACTAGCTTCCCCTGCTGCACGTTGCTGTGGCCCAGTCTGTGTATATGTGTTTTGTGTGTGTATATGTGTGTTTGCATATATATATATGTGGATTTGCACATGCATTGTAATGTATTTTTTTGGGCTTTTTAAGTCTCTTCCACTGTGTTTTTCAGTGTTTTTATGAGTGATGGTCACTCATTGGCCCGATAGGTGCATTGTGTCCAAATTTGGTGCCAATTCATCCAGTGGCTTTTGAGTTATGTTAATCCCACAAATGAACCTTACATTTTTATTTAGAAAGATAGATATACACACTTATATCCACTTTGTGGTCCCATTTCTTAAGGTTGGCTCTACATCTCATGGTGCCAGAGTGCAGTCTGTTCTGCTCCTTCCAAGTTACCTGGTCTTCTGTGTACCCAGGGGGGAATCTCTCATTTGGTATCAGCCATGGGTTGAGGTCCTGAGCTTTAGCCTGCCACTTTTGGACTCTTGCTTGCTGAGGTGTTCCTGTGAGTATCTCTGTAGATCTTAGAAACCTATTTCTTGACTCAAGGCGTGATGGTCGGTAGCCAAACAGGGGATGGGCTGGAGTTTATACTAATTCCAAGTCGAGTCTCTCACACCAGAACCAACTTGAAATTAGTATAAACCTTTTTTATAAAATAAAATAAAAACTTTGCGAGAGTTTCTGAATAGGTAGCTTCTGAATAGGTGTAGTTGTTGTGAAAGTAAAAGTGTTCATTGCAGTGGGATCCCATAGGTGAAGCAGCCACTTCCTTTTAAGAGCATTGAATGTCACTGCCTTGTGGGCCCCGCCCCCTTCTCACGAGCTGCGCTCCCTCTGTGGCTTCTCTGCGAGCAGCAGACCCACGGGGCGAGAGCCACTTGTTGCAAAGGCGTCCAGAGCGGAGGCGGGAGCCAGTCCACCTCGGGGCCTCTCTCTCTCTCTCTCTCTCTCTCTCTCGGGCCAGCCTACAGACAGCGACAGCTGCAGCCGGGGCACAAGGGCAGCCTCCCCAGCGGTGCCAGGATCTTCCCCGCTTTTCCCCTTTGGAGCTGAAAGAA